GTCAGGCATGTTTTAAAAAAAAAGGCCCCCAGTTGTCTGGACCAGCTGGTTTATGAGGGTGAGATTTTTAAGAGCAATATAAACATCTGATATCGTAAAAGGACTGAGGGTAAAAGCTCGCTGCAACTTATATTGTCAATCATTTGAGACACCACAGGGAATTTTTCCAACTTCGATAAAAAGCCAGAGGATATGCAGTGATTATTAAAAGAGTTCAATATGTCTGTATGCTGACCATCAATAGGTGGAAAATTAACCTGACCTCCACCTTAATGTTTTCTAAAGTATCTTTATTTACATTTATCAGAGATGAAGTGTGTAATACTACTGCAAATAAGTTTACAGACTGTTCACATTCCCAAGATGTAGATGACTAAGCAAGTGATGCTTTGTCACTGCACTTTTAGTATCAAACAGACCCACAAGAAACCCTTACAGTATGTGTTCACAATCAGACTTTAAACAAACGTTTGTGTAAACCCATTACCAGCAGTATTAGACACTCAAAGAAACAGCTTTAAGAGCTCAGAATACTTCCTTCACCTGTGACTTCCTCAACACAGTGACTTTATTTGAGGATAATCTCACAGTAAATCTTGCCGTTTTGATAGTTCCTTGTTCTACGTCCCCAGACCGTGTCATAAAACATGCACTAAATCAAACATCACCTGACTGAGATAATAACATGCCCTCCCTCCTCTCCGCGTCCAAAACAGGGTGTGGCAGCACATGAATTCTTCTGGATCTTCCCTCAAACAACATCTTGGCTTTCTGTCCCTGTCATAAATCCTGCTCTGCTGTCTCACTTTCTCCCATTAACAGACCATCAATCAGTCACTCAGATGTCACAGCTCTATACGCATCACACCACTCTGCACGGAAACCAAAACTCTGCATGCCATTCTGCAGAAACACAACTTTAGACAAACTAAACCTTACTTTACCTTATTAGTTTTTCAAATGATAATGACAACATTCTGCTCATCTGTAAAAAGTGATCAAAGCTTTTCCTACTTCAGATTTTGTTGCTCTATGTGCGACTCTGTACGTTTGTGTCCTGCAGAGAACTTTCACTCTTTCATGATGCTCAGATAAACCGGGATTTGTTGCAGCATGCCCACTCCTCTGTTTTGCATCTCCAGCTCAATATTTTGACCATAAAAGGAAATGTCAAGGTGGTTCTCACCTGAGGCTGTTCTGAGCCCTGAAGTTGAGCTGCAGCGAGAGTGACTACACTCTGATTTTCAGCAGTTACTGCTTGCTCTTAAAAGTACTGTTGACATTACAGGGCAAATTAAGATTTCAAGTGGAAAAGACTAATACTGTTGCTCTTGCTGATACTTTTACACTGTTGGCATATTCAAAATGACATCTTGTGCCTGACAGAGCTGAAGGTGCAGACAGAATTTATATTTAACAAAATTATTTTCTCAATGATTTGATATCAAAATCGTAATTTGATGTTCATGTTTAGTGGAATCGTTAAGCTCTACATTGATGTGTTTTATCCTAGAGTTGTGTGTAAGCGGATGAACAGGGTGCAGGGCTGAGACACCTGAGTCCAGGTTTAGAAAACAAACACACCTGTTTGATGCAATATTCTGCAATAACGTCTATGAGCAGATTCAGAAAGTTCAGTATTCACATAACTTTATACTCATGTTGCACTCTGCTTGTAGCCACAGAGATATCACATTGGTTTGTGTACACCTGCTTTCAAGTTTCCAGTTTCCAGTTTCCAATTTTCGCCGTCTTAACTTTTGACCAGAGGTGAACATGTTTAGGGAAGAGGGTGGAGCTCACGAGGAGCAAGGGGGTAGTGAACACAAAACCATGCTTACTAGCTAAAATGACATTTTAAAACAGTTTCACTCTTTCAATCACACTTCCCAACAACCAAAAAAACACAATACTCATTGGGCTCACTGTCGCCAAGAAAGCAATCCTCCTCAACTGGAAAAGCAGAAAAAAACTAAACACCTCAATATGGATAGACCTCTTTGTCGAACATATCACCATGGAAGAACTTACAGCATCCATCCACAATGAAACACATCAATTTCTGACAACTTGGGAGCCAATCCTCACCTCACTACTTCCCGAACAACATAGTCCAAACCCCTGATATTCCCTACCACAAATATAGACTCATACAAATACATACACACACACACATAAAGACACACACACACTTACACAAATACACACACATAAATACACATACACACATAAAGACACATACACAAAGACACACAACATTTTTTTTCTTTTGTTTCCTTTCTGTATAACTATCACAATTTATTTATGAATTTATTTTCCTCTTACCATCAAATTTAATCTTTTCTTATTACTATTATTATTATTATTGTCTGTAGCCACCATTTTATTATGACCTATTTGATGATTTATTTCCTCTCCCCCCTTATATTCATATCATATTCATCATCAAAAATTGTCATCACAGCCACTCTCATTTTTCATGCATTTCTTTTTGTTCATTTGTTTCTATTCTCTTTCTCCAATCCGGATGATTGTCTGTTTTTCTCTGGTTGCCTTGTTTTGTTCATGTGTTTTCTGTTTCTCTTGTAACTATAATAAAAAGTAAAAAAATAAAAATAAAAAATAAAAAAATAAAACAGTTTCAATGACTTTCCTGAGGTAGTTCAGACATTAAATCTTTAAAAAAAAAACGCTAAATGATATGAGAGAAGGCAACTTAGCCGCCATTTAAAAATGATTCCACATAATGGGTCCAGCATTGCTAAGCGCATTCAATCCTAAACCTTGGTATTTTCAAGGGGATCCAGGTCTGAGTTCTGATTGTATGGCTTGAGATGTTAGTAAAGCAGGTTAGTCATGTAAGGGGGGAGTTTAACAAGGAGTGCTTTAAATAAATACAATACTGCTTTCTTTGTTTGGCCAACAAGGGCCAGCCAGCAGAGCAGTACAGGTCACACTGTTGAGTTTGAAATCAGTAGCCTGTGATAAAGCCGACACTTTTTTTTTATCAGCGTGAGTGTCAAAGGAGAATATCCGTCACTGTTGGGACAGAAAATCTGATCTAAACTGTCAAACAAATGTCTTGCTCAAAATATTCCATTGTACTTTTATTTAACCCTTTGGTCTGCACACACCTGTAAAGTTTGTTCCCATGTGTGAAACCGTTAAATGGAGTCATCATCTAATTACAAGTTATTCCGGAGTTCGATCAGTTACACAACAATCAGTTACTCAGTGAGTAAGAGTTGTGTTTTATAACCCTGATGCTGTTCCTACTTTGTTTTAATGCTTAACATAAAAGTAATCAGTTTACTGCTCTGACCTTGAGATGCTAGCAGAGGAGAAGAGAGTCACAATTAAAGATTTAATGTCTTCTTATGTTGGATGCCATCAAACACTCACACACACCCTTGCACACTAAAGACTGACAGCAGATCAGTCGCTATTCATCTGCTGCCAGGTTTCTGCTCTAATGAATCCATCGTGCCATTGCACAAACTGTTCAACTGTTTTTCATTCCAACAAGTTCCAGTTCTTCTACTCGCTGCTTCTCTGTGCGTTTAACTCCGAGTGTTAATAAAAACACACACACATCACCTGCCACCTCTGTTTTTTCTTTGAGCGTGATCAACGTTTTCTGCTGGTGCGTCGAGACATTCTGCAAAGATCGACTTCAGTCACCAAAAATCTTGAGAGACGCTCATATGAACACCAAACTCCATTCAGTTTTTTAACAATGAGGGAAAACTGCCAATGTTGTTGCTTCTGCTAGAAATCTTCTTTGTATCAGCAGGTTTCCTGTTGAGAGAACTACTTTTCTACGTACTACAAAAGCTTCAATTAAAAAGCAGTCGCCATCTCGTAATGTTCAATCTGCATGTGACTCTGTTTTGAAACACGTGAATGAACAGTCATTTGGTGAAAGTGGTAGATTGTCCTAATTTGAGTAAAAGCCATGATTCATCACAGAAACACACAAATCCTCCTGAGTTCAGATATTCACATCTTCAAACCAAACTCCATTCAATGATTTGGGAGTAAAACAATGTGTGACCAAATGTTATGGTAAAAAGAATTTGAGCTTGTAGAGCACTTTTCTAGTCTTCTGACTACTCAAAGCGCTTTTACACCGCATGTCACACCTACACATTCACACACTGATGGCAAAGGTTTCTATGTAAAGAGACCATCAGAAGTAACTCATCTCATTCATATACATTCTTACACCAGCAATGAAGCAGTTGGAGCAACTTGGGGTTAAGTATCTTGACCAAGGACACATCAGACATGTGGTAACCGTCCGGTTAAGAGATGACCGACTCTACCAACTGAGCCACACCCTCATGTTACAATGCATGTTTTTCAGAAAATGATGAACGTGCCTATTTTTGCAGCAGTTTATTTTCTTTGAGGTAAAAGCTTCTTCAGAGAAAACGCAATTAACAAAGGGCATCTTTCCTTCTCCTTCTTCCTGCATCCTGCTTCTTTCCCACTTTCCAAGCCCGGCACAGTTTCAGCAGACGGCTGTTCATCATGAGTCTGATTCTGATCGAGGTTTCTGCCTCTAAAAGGAAGTTTTTCATTGCTGCTGCAACACTGCTAAATGTTGCTTAGTGTTCATGATGGATTCATGTTGGGTCTTTGTAGATAATATAACAAAGAGTAAGGTACTTCACCTGCTCTTTTGTAAAGTGTCTTGAGATAAAATGTGTTGGCTCTCTACAAATAAAGATTGATGGATCTTTCTACTAAACGTCATTTAACTTTTTATAATTTTTAGACAAACGTATTGCTATACCCTGTTATAATCATTCTGAATAATTCAGAAATAAAACATGTTTTCTTAAGGAGGTACCCAGCAGGGCCTTGATAATAATTACCGGCTCCATGTTTGCCAAAGTTGAGCTTATGCAGGTTTAACTGGATCTGTTTTCTCATGTCATCTGTCTGATCATAAAAACACTTTAGTCCAGTTGGGATTATAGTCAATTTTAAAGAGGTTATGTTTGTGTTTGATCCACATCCAGGTGTGGTTGAATCAGACCTGTCAGAGACAGAGACACAGACAGTGACAGGCGTGTCGCCATCTCGGCAACCGCCCTGCGGGCTGATTGGCTGAGTGCCAATGAGAAAAAAAAGATTAAAATGAACAGAGATGGGAATTAACAGATCACTGCAGAGATTAGGGAAAGGTTAATTATTCCATTCTAAGATTTGTGTGTGTGTGTGTGTGTGTGTGTGTGTGTGTGTGTGTGTGTGTGTGTGTGTGTGTGTGACACAGGGAAAATACTTTCTTATGTTGTTTTTTTCTTCTTCATACTTCAAATATTCAAAGTGTTCCAACAGGCCTCTGGGGAAACAAACACATCCTGTTCAAACATGCATGAAAACCACACACACACACACACACACACACACACACACACACACACACACACACACACACACACACACACACACACACACACACACACACACCCTCTGCAGAGTCTGTAGTTGTATAAGAGCACATAGAGGAACCAGTAACCTGCACACACTGTGTATCATGTCATGTCATCGTGGGTTATAATGTAGGTTATTCTTAAGTTTAAATCAATGTGACTTTAAATCAAGCTATCACCATCTTTTGTATAACATTTTTGTAACTCTGACGTTTCTTTTGTTTTGTCCTTGTGCAACTTAAATGGAGATGCAACAGTATTATCTGTATGTAATTGTTTTGTCAAAAAGGGAATGAATCTTTTATTTAATGCTTCAATATGCTGGATTGATATGTAATATAATTGCAGACTGAAACAAAATACTAAAACTTCAGTGTTTCAGTTTTTATATCCTTTAAATATAGTGACTACTTAAGATACATGAATAGTTTGATATTATATAAGTTTAGTTGGAATAAAGTGTCATGTCTTGTACCACACTTTAAATATTCTTTGTAACAGAAAGAAGCCCTTTGTTTGAATGTTTTATAACCCAGAAAATACCTCAAGGGTTTAAAGCATTCACTTCAGAAAACATCTCATCACTTAGTACCTGTCAGTTAGGCCACACCCGAGTGTCACCTTCATCCTGCAGCCACTATAAACATACCCCACACAGGCACACACACACTATTCTTTTATCCGTGCCATTTCCAGCTTTGTGCCCAATTCCATAAGACTTTTATGACCACATAAGTCGATCTGGGTGCTTGAATTTGGAATTTCAGCAAAATGCTAATATTTGCATTAATCCACACACCGTGACTGAATTAATTAATCATGTTTGCAGGAACTGCAAAGGGAAAAGATTCAATTTAAAATGCCAAATGTTAAAGTGCCAAACATTATGTGAGGAGAAATAAAGTTGTTGTTTTTTTTTCATTTATGTGTTTGCCATTAATAATGTGTCCTAATATTTAACTTAATTTATTCTCACATTATACTATTATTATACATTAACTAAAAAACAGTTAAATATGCTTTCCGCTTTTGTTAAGTTTCATTGTCGCCTAAATGTTGCTTGTTAATAATAAAAATGATTTTTATAGCAACTTAATGACTTTTGACCAAAAGCATTCTCCAAAGAATCAACACCAACTGCTCAATAAGCTTGATAATGTGAATAAGGAATTAGCACGGGCCCTTTTCATGTAATGGTGGAGTCTGCAGGACTGCAGAAGTTCTCTTTCAGGTTTTGAGACCCTGAGGCATCAAAAGGGGGCTGTGCGGGAAAACAGGCTTTGAACAAAATGTTCTCAACTCCTGTGGAAGAGTGTCTTACAGTACAAAAAAAAACGCTGAACAAGGCATTTTCCAAATAGCGGTGGGTGTGTCTTGTCAATCACAGGTAGCCCCCCCCCCCTTCCCCCCCAAATCATCCCCTGCTTTATGGTCTATGTGGTTCTTACTTTATTTCAAAACAAAAGCAGGGTTGAATAAAAAAGCAAGTCAAGTACTCTCAGTTTATGACACTAGAAACATGCCAAATAAAAGCCAAATTTTGAATGCAAAATTTTGTAATATCAAACATACTCGTGATTTTTTAAATTAAGCGATAAATGGCGATTAAAAAAAGGTAATATTTGACAGCCCTACCCACAAGGCAACTTATCTTCTGACAGTTGTGTGGGAGTTTTTTGGTGTTTAGTGCCAACCACAGTTAGTGTCGTCTGCAGTAGAAACAGTTCACTAAAATGGTCTGGAGAGATATTTCATTTTAAACTTGTAGTCATCAACCCTGACCAGCGCTGGCTGCAGTGACATCGCCTGAGGCCATTTATCAAATCTCAAATAGGTAATGTTCTGCTGACCACATACTTTATTCAACGTATGAGTAGTTAAAGTAGGCTACATAAAATTCCAGAAACAAACCTCCTTTCTGCTGCAGGCTGCGTGAAATATCTTGACCTTCACATTTCTGAGGAAGGAGTGGTTGCTGGAGAGGAGGTAGGTCAGTGAGTGGACGATCCTGTAGAGAAGGAGGAGTGTGCAGATTTCACGTTTTTATTAAGATTTCTGCAGTAAAGTGTGTCAGTAGAAACGAAGAGCTAAAACTTTAAGGAGACTGGTGATAAAACTCAACCAGTCAAGAGTCTCTCTAAGGCTAAAAGAATGTTGGATATTGCAAATATCATGATATTACGTGTGTTTAATGTTATTTATATTAACCTCATTTTCACTTTATCACTTTAACCAACTGATTTAAAAAAAAATTGAATTGATTGAATTGCATACAAAAAGCATTCGAGATGGATTGAAATCTAAAAAAAATAGCTTGAAAATGATCTCTTCATGATGCTCTCTTACTTTAATTTTTTTTTTTTTTCTTAAAGTGTTGCTTCCTGGTAGCGCGTAACCCACTGCACATGCTCAGTAGTATTACTCAATATGATCAACCGTTTGAATGTCAGGCAAAAATGTTTCTCTAAGCGACACATTAAAATAATGAATGGATTGAATGTTCAGAAGACACAATACAACTGAGTTTGTTTCCAGTTAAAGGAATCCTGTCAACCCTCAAGCTTTCCACAGTTTTGAGGGTCAAGGGTCAGATTTTTGAGGACATTTTAACAAAGATGTGTGGACTCTCTGAAACCTTTACAAAATACACATCTATTGTGGACAGTTTAAATGATATAACAAAAGACACTTTGAATACTGAAATAAAGTTCCACCCTTTGACCTACATTTGTTTCCATGTTGTTATATTCCTTTATGTGGTTTGCGGGGACATCAGTGCATCTTTTTTTATCATGAGGCTTTAAAAAAATTCTTATTATGAAGTTTATTGGCTTTTTAACTATACACTCTGTGAATCTGTCTGTCTTTGTGTCTTCATATCACCTGTCTGCTGTCTCTGCAGGTAAATGTCTCATCAGAGTTCTGACACTCTGCTGCCCCCACGGGTCAGAGTGAGAATTACACTAAAGGACCAACAAGAAACTCACTGCAGGATAAACCAACCTATCAGGTTCTCCATACTTTTGAAAAAATCATGACTATTTGATGTTAACTGCCCCCTACAGAACATCAGTATAAGTAAAATATGTATTTTTTAAGCTTTCATAGTCATTAATCAGCTGTACTTGAATTACAATTGTATATCAATATCAATATTGCAGTAGCATACTATTGTTGATCATAAGATAGAAAAAAGATGGGAAAATAATGGAGAATCCATATCACAGCAGAAAACTGGAATAACAGCTTAAGTAGAAATTTTAAATATCGCAAATAGCGGAAAGTGAGTATGAGATATTTTATTTCACATTGCCAACACAGATAATATTCACCCTTGCAGGACCACATTTTTGGAGGGGGTGTGGGGAGCAAGAGGGAAATTATACACATTTTTGAAAGAGGGTGAGGAAGCGTTATAATCATTTCTTTATTTTAAATGAACATCTTGAAGTCGTTGAACACGTTTTGGCTATCAACATAGATATATCTTTTTAACATTCTGCGATGGATGGCCATGAAGAAGGTGACAAGGACATGGAAACAACAACATCAACCAAAATTAAAATTGTGACAGTAGAACAAACCTTAGACAACTAAAAACGTACATTTATGATAAGAGGGAATTCACAGAAAATAAATAACATAAAGTCTGAAGGTCTGTAAATAGGCCAACCCCACCCACAATTATTACTATTTTTGATTTTCTCTCTTTCTGGACTCTCTAATTTAGCTTTAATTAGCTCTTCTGTTTTGTGTGTCCTCTTTGGCAATGCATTGTAAAGATGGAAATGATCTGGAATTGTCATTGTGTATGACCATTGCAATAAAGTGATTAAAAAACAACAACAGGGATCATTCTGCTGCTGAAGACACACTAATAATTTTCTGTCATCATTTTCTTTAATCGACCTCAGAAGTGTTTAATAAAGCTCTGCTTCATATATTTTGTTCAGAGTCACATTAATGTCATCATGTTCTCTAGTCTGCTGACTAAAGTCTGCAGCTCTTCTTCAGTTGTCACAACTTTGGATTCTGCTGCCACCTGCTGGTATCAACTCATCCCCACAAATCCTCTTTAAAAAGATAAAGGTTTCTGGATCTGTTTCTTTTTGTCTTCAAATGTAAACTACTTCAATCAAAGTTCTGTTGCTGTTTAATATTAAGGAACTTTTAAACATGAACATGTAGTGAGGTTAGAAGTATACAACATTTGTCAATGACATGAAGCCAGACAACTCTTCCAGCATTGTGTACCTTTTGGAATATATCCCCATTCCCTTTGGATAAATGTTACTCTTTTCTCTTAACTTTTTAATTAATTAATTAATTAATTAATTAATATTTTACTTTTCTGTAAAATATTATGTTTAAACCCATGTTAAACCACTGAAACAAAAGAAGAAACAACCCAAAATCTACAATTTGAATAATACGTAGGAAAAAGGTACATTGACAGTGAGTAAAAACAAAAAAAGCAACAAAAACGCGATTTATGGAAGTTCCTTTATCAATGATTGTGATACTTTAAGTAAGAAGTAAGTTTGAAATACATTTTTAATAATCAAACATTTAATGTATTTTTCTTCGGTGGAAAGATTTCAAGACTACAACTCTAATATTGTGATAAAGTTCCATTTTTAGGTGCCTGTACTCCACTTCGGTATTTACATTTTCTGTTTTTAGTATACTATGTCTGTGATGAGAACATAGTTCCCCTATACCCCCCCGCAAATATTTATTATTGGGCTTTCCATGCCTTTATTCTAGAGACAGGACAGTGGATAGAGTCGTATATCGGGGAGAAAGAGAGTGAAGAGTTACATGCAGGAAAGGAGGCTGCCTGCTTTGAGGACTTCAGCCTTTTTAAATGGGACACACATTTTAACCACTAGGCTACGGGCACCACTCCCTTAATGCTTTTAATTTTTGCTGAAAGTATCTTGTAAGGGAGTGTCTTTGTTTTTTTGTTTTAAGAAACTTTTACTTAAGAAAACAATTTAAACAAGTTCTCTAGCACTTGCTTTTAATCTCTTCATTCAAGAACAACAAGTTTACAGTGTTTTAGTAGTTTTGCACTTGTAGGTATGTTAAGCTTCTAAGTGGGTTGTCCCTCCCTAGATAGCCTATCAGAGACGCATGACATCATTAATGCCTTCAGGGTCAGCACTGGTGACCCCAACACCAGTTGACAGCCATCGCTGGAGAAGAGGAGACGTACCTGCAATGTAAGAATAAGAGTGTTTTTTGTAAACAATGTTCTCTTGTTTGTGTTGCTGTTGTGAATAGAAAGTGGGTGCTCTCACCTGTAGCCTGTTGTTGATGTTGGGTTTTCTGAGCTTGGCTTCTTCTGTCCTGACTTCTCTCCCTCCCGGCTGCTGACATTGACAGAGCCGCCATCTTGCAAACACTGATTCTTTCCTTGTTGCTTCCTGCTCTGCTGCCAGTGCTTCTGATTGGCCAGTTGCTGCTGCTGATGGCCCTCCCCCCTGTGCTACTGGCTCTTCCTGACCCAGAGGAGCTACTGATCCTACCCCCTGGTTGGCGGCTAACTCTGTCACTGCTACCTGCACTGCTGAGTCTAGGCCTGCTCACAGGGCTACTCATGTGATTCCCATCTGCTGTTGAACTGTTCAGCCAACCACCACTACCAATACTGCCACTCATTCTTCCCCCAGGACTTGGGGCTCTTTGGCTGCTGGTCTTCCCCGCTCCACCTGACAAGCCTGCATTCACTGAACTGCTTCTACGTCCGCTAGATGAGCCGTAGACAGGCATCCGTTCACCGCTGCCAGTGCTACCATATCTCCCAGATCTACTAGTCCTGTGGCTACCAGATGAGCTGCTGAGCCTGCCCCCACTACCTACACTGCTACTGCGCCTTACAACACCTCCAGTGCTGAGTCTGCCTCCACTCCCACCACTACTGAGTCTTTGTCCACTAGTTGGTGGGCTGATGATATGACTGACATTGGCTCCATCTGCACTGCTGGCACTACTCGAACGTCCAGTACTCCTACCATAAAACTTCCACTCCCCACTCCCCCCACCATCAAATCTTCCTGTTCTAGGTATTGCAGGTGGGCTTGTTGCTAGTTGTATATCAGCCAATGACCTTTTTTTGTCGTCAGCATTTGGTAAGCTACTGCTACCAGCCCAACTGCTAATACGACCAGTACTTCCACCATAGAATTTCCACTCTCCACTTCCTCTGCTGCCAAACCTTCCTGTTTCTGTTGGGCTTGTTGCTAGGTGCGGGGCTGTTGGCAGACTTTCTCTTCTCTTTGTGTTGAATAAATCATCACTGCCAGCCTGGCGGATGGTATGTTTAAGACTGCTGCTGTCGACCATCAACTCTCCAGTGGTGCTAACCATGCTACCAAATGTTGTTTCTGGTTGGCTTGTTGAAAAGAGCATGGCTTCTTCTTTTCTTGTGCTAGATAAGCTGCTCTTACGCCCAAGACTGCCATAAACCATCCAATCCCCACTTCCTCTTCTACTAAACCTCCCTGTTTCTGGCCGACTTGTTGCTGGAAGCGTGGCCGCTGATGGACCTTCTTCACTCCCTGTGCTGGATAAGCTTGTACTTGTATTTTCTGTACTGACACCATAAACCTTCCAATCTCCACTGCCTTTCCTAAATCTTCCCTGTATCTCTGCAGCAGCATCTTCATTATTACTGACTCTACCTGATGAATTAGCAACTATCTCACAGAGACTAGCTGAATCACTTGCCACACCACTGTTAGGAACCACGTCATTTAAATTATTAGTCACACCAATAAAGGTAGTCCTTTCATTGGCAGGTACAATACAAAAGTCACCTGATTTATTATTAGAATTATTCTGCTCCCTTATTCCACTCTTCAGACAGGAATCCTCTTTCTGTTGGTCTGTGCCATTTGTGCCTCCTAGGCTGCCACCAGGATTCTGGATATTCTTCATGTCTTTAGTGTCTCCTGTACTTTTGTCCATATCTCGGGGACTAGGTGCATTTCCTGTACTTCTTCGATAAAGGCCTCCAAAACCTAGCTGTTCCTCTTTGTCTGCTATGACACTACTTCCACTGGGACCATTGAACTCCAAGTCTTTTGACTGGCTTCCAATCCCTTGACTGGTGGGTTTGCAGTTGACTTTTGAACTATTCACACTAAAGCTACTCTCTGTGTTATCTTCAAATGATCCAAAACACAGACTGTCTCCATCGCTCACTTTTCTGTTTCTGCCCTCTCCTGGCAAAGCTTGATCTCCACTAAACGACAGGGATCGGCCTTCCTCTTTTGTTGTAAGAACATATTTCTCGACTGGTCTCACCCTCGTATTTGCCTCTGATGGACTTAGGCATGCGTCCTCGTCCTCATCTTCAAAATTCGGGCTTAGACACAAATTTGACTCAACTGGACTCAAACATGTGTTGGGATCATTTGGGCTAAGAAACATGTCTGGGTCCTCTGGACTCAGAAGTGAATCAGGACTTCTACTATCTAGATCAACTGGGCAAAATACTTGATCAGTCATGCTCATTATCACATCTGTCTCAACTGGGCTAAGACACATTTCTTGACTCAAAGCTGAGAGTGGATTTGAATGGCTCATAAAGACACGACCTTCATCTGGACTCAGAAACCCATCAGTGCTGGATGAACTCAAAGCCACACCAGAATCTATTCGACTTGTAGACTCTTTGGACTTTGTAGTACTCATCAGTTCTTCATGGTGACATGGTGGACTATTTATGTCATCATCTATTTCAGCAGGGTTAATCTCCACCTTGTTGATATCATTAGAACTTTTGACTACCTCCCTCTTGTTACCTTCTACTTCTACTTTGTTCAAAATAGCTTCACTTTCAGTTCTTCTCTGGAAGTCAACATTGGTGTCTGGGCAATGTAATGCAATGCCAGATCCTGAATCTGACTCCTGCATGACATTATTTTCTTCGCTACTGAATGCATAATCTGGTTCTGCACAAGGAATGGTTTTGATGATCACATTATGAATGTTTGAACCTAACCTGTCAGACTGTAAACCAGCATCAGTGGTGTTTTGTTCAGAAGTGATAAGTTCTTGTTTTTCCTCAGCCTGAATGGCGCCCTCAATGCAATTTATTGGTGAGGGACCTACAGTTTCTGTCTCTGTCTTAATCTCTGCATCAGTCTGTTCACTGGGATCAGTGTCACAGGCTTTGCTAATCTCAGTTGGAGGGGTTGTGTGTTTATAGGCCTCTGTTGTTGCTTGGTTGGAAATCAGAGTTTCTAGTTTTGGAAGAACAGTAGGACTTGTAGCAGATTGTTTGCCAGAAAGCAACATGTTGTTGGACGTATGTAACTCTAATTTAGAGGCTTTAAAAACAGCTCTGTCTTGGACATTTTGGCTAATCTGACAATCAACAAACCCTGAGTTCAGTGGGCCATGATCTTCATAGTTAATTTTATCTTCCACAGAGATGCTTTGTTTGTTAATTTTTGCACCAGTGGTCATGGATTCCCTTTCAGTCCCCTCAGAAAGAGCTTCAGTCTTCTTGTTTTCAGACTTCTGGAATGACCCTTTCTGATTTGATGTGTTAATCGATTTTACTGTTAAACTGTTTGGATGTTTGCTGTTGTCCGTGATTGTCTGGCTTGTGGTCACTATTCCTGTGAGTGAACCAAGTACGGGTGTTTTTTTAACAGTGCAGCTGTTGTCTCTGGAGACAGTCTGAATCTGATTCATTCTTTGATTTCCTACCTGACTACTGACAGTTTTGTGCACTGTAAAGTTTTTCATTAAAGCAGAGGGGCTGGTTGTGGCACAGTAAGATGAGAAATTGGTCACAGAGTTTAAGTGAAGACTTGAGAACCTGTGAAGATAAGGACAAATACAAACATGGAGAATGGTAAAAACAGATCTGAATGTTTTTGTTAAAGGCACAGTGGTGTTAAAACAAACCTCTTTCATTTATTTCAAATATTTCCTGGGAATTTTCCAAAAAGGCCAATGCATATTGGTGCTAAATAGAGAAAACCAGAGACAAATTTGTATTTCTGGGGATTCTTTAAACAACAAATATTTTTCATGACATAATGGAAAGACTTACAATTCAAATTGGGTTTGTTTTTATCATTGTGTGATCATTTTAATGTTGACATTTTATTTTTTTGAATGTGATTGTTGATTATTTTATGATATTTGGAGTATGGGACATTTACAATTTTGATTGTTTTGGGTGTTTTAAAGCATTGTTTCAGGCTAGATAAAACCTTCTTGTTGAAAACTAAAACATGTCTGGAACTGAATTTTTTTTTTATTAGGATTGTAAAGTGATAAGGACTGATTTGAAGATAATAATAAACTTCATACCTTTTTTGACTCATTCCGTCCAGCAGCCTCTTGTAGTCGTTTATCTCAGTCTGCATTTTTGTCTTGACATATAGCAGGGCCTCATAGTCTGCAGCCTGCTGAGCTGTTCCCTGCAAAACTGAGTCAAATTCTCTGCCCAAATAGTCTGCTCTCTGCTGCAGGACCTCCAGCTGTAGAACGAAGGACTCTGTCTGCTCCAGACCAGAAGCCTCCAACACTGCATTCTACAGATAGACAGACAGACAGGACATCTATAATACTCACTGTTATGGGGCGTGGAAGGTGATCCTTCCTTAGCAGGTTGGAAGGGGTATACCATGCAATAAACAACTACAACAGTAAGTAGCTAGGTGTTCACTAAAACTGATTAGCGCTTTTCAGTTTTCTTCCACTGACTGTCAAGCTTACATTGTTAAAATATAATGGAGGGCAGAACAACAAGGTTTTACTCGCTATGATGAGCAAGTTCCAAAGAAGAGTATCAGATATAAGGAGTAATAGGGCGATATTGGAAGTTTGAAATTGTGGAGAACAATGCAGAAACTTTGTTGTACTGTTCGGTTTTGTTGATACTAACACACCTGCTTGCTTCCTGTTCTACCATATACGTGACTGAGTCTGATGAGTGATAAACACTACCAACTGGACTTCTGAAGTACTTAACTGACTGGGTTATAAATTAAATGTAAGTGTCCATGCGCTGTGAGCAGGGTTTGAACCTGCGCGGGAAACCCCATTGGATTTCAAGTCCAACGCCTTAACCACTCGGCCATCACAGCTGCTGGAGTCTAGATTTGTTCTCTAAATTTAGATTAACTTTATCAGACACAGGTGCAGGGCAAAGAGTGTAAAGGTGAATGTGGTGATACTGTTAGATTTCATTGCTACTAAGCCCCCTACTTCTACTACTCTACTACCCTACTCTCTTCCTGTTCTGTCACACAAGCAACTCAGTCTGATTACTGATAAACCCTAGGTCAGGACCAAACAAGGTAACTGGTATCCTGAAGCAATCTCAAGTACTTTCCTGATTCTCAAATTTTCTGACTGGGTCATTATAACTATATACTATATAATTATAAGTCCAACACCTTAACCACTCGGCCATCACAGCTCTGGGCTATGTTGCGTCCAAAGAAACTACTTTGTTAAATCCAGAAAACCCTTAATTGAGGCTCAGGTTTGAAGGTCCCTGGCAACTCTATTATATTAAGAATTGAGGCTGAGGATAACTGTTCCAAGCTCATGATATGTCATTCCAACAAACCAATGTTCAAGTTTCTAGGGGGAGGCCCTATTGGATTTCAAGTCCAAAGTATAAACACTCTGCCATCACAGCTGGGGGAGTTCAGATTTGTGAGCTAAAATCAAATTGACTTTTCAGACACAGGTGATTGAAAGGAGATGTTGCAGAAATTAATCTGGTGATACTGTTTCATTTTGTTGATACTAACACACCTGTTTGCTTCCTGTTCTGTCACACAAGAAACTCTGTCTGATCACTGATAAACCCTAGGTCAAGACCAGATTATGTAAATGGTATCTTGAAGCAATTTTATGTATTTTCCTGATTCTCAAATTTTCTGACTGGGTCATTATAACTTAATTAAAGTGTCCATGCGCTGTGAGCAGGATTTGAACCTGCGCGGGGAAACCCCATTGGATTTCAAGTCCAACGCCTTAACCACTCGGCCATCACAGCTGGTGAAGTTTGAACCAGTACGCCAAATTCAAATGATCTATTTTAGACAGGTGATTGAAAGGATATGTTGCAGAAATTAAGATATTGAGATATTGTTGATACTAAAACACCTGCTTACCTACTGTTCGGCCTTACAAGCAACTCAGTCTGATGACTGATAAACCCTAGGTCAGGACCAACTTTATGAAGCAATGTTGAGACGCCAGTCAAGTTTTTCCTGACTGGCTTATCATATCATAACTTTATTTTTAGTGACATGCGCTGTGAGTAGGGTTTAAACCTGTGCGGAGAAACCCCATTGAATTTCAAGTCCAACACCTTAACCACTCGGCCATTACAGCTGGATGAGTCTAGGTTCGTGCTCTAAATTCAAATCAACTTCAGTTTTTTGAAGTCCACTCAGCTTTTTGTTTTTCAAGTATTTCACTTCAGCCTACCCCATCTAGTTGCTAACCTACGATTGGATAATCACTCCTACCAGATCCTGAAGTTGGCTTAGTTCCTCTTCCAGACTTGCTGCTGTTCTTCTCAGGTCCTCTAGTTCTGATTGGTCTACCTCTGACCCTGCTATCGAGTCACAGGCCGACATGGACACCTGAAAACAACACGTCATGAAATGCACAACGATGCTCACAAAACTATTTTAAGAACATTAAAATGGTTCATTTTCACTTATGTGTGGCTTGCTTTCGAAATAAAAACATGCAGTAAATGTTTTTATACCTGAGTGTTGAACCAACACTCGTTCTGGTTCTCGTTCAGCAGTGTCACACACTCTCTCAGGTCTTCCAGCTGCTGGATCAGGTCTGATGACCCGGTGGTCTGCATCTTCACTGCAACCCCTGACACCTGGGTTGGGCAACCCTGCATGTCCTGAACATGTATACAGGAAACATCAAGTCAGAGGAGGTCTTCTGTTTTGAATAATTCAGGTAAGTTTATATTGTTTCACCTGTTGATGTTGAATCTGCAGCTCCATCAGTTGTTGTAATTGATTGTTTAGAAGACTCTGCAGCTCTGGCAGTTTGTGGACATTAAGCTCATCCCCCAGCAGCCTCAGGTCACTAAGCTCCGCCTCCAGACGAACACGACGCTCTCGCTCCTTTTCATACCTGTGTACACAGCAAAGCATGATGGGATATGTCTACATTTGCTTTTAATGTGTTAAATGTTTTGTGTAAATACCTTGCACTGAGGTCCAAGGAGGTGAGCTCTGCACTGAGCAGCTGCAGCTTCACCTGAGCCTGAGCCGAGAGACATTCACTAATCTAAGGGTGAGAGAAAAAGTTAAAACAACATCTTATTGGGTGATTGTGCATAATGAGTTATGACTTTTTGGTTGTCGGTCCTGACTTAGGACGTGAATTTAAACTTTTTAGTTCTGACTTAGGACTAACTAGTCTTGACTCAAAACTTGTTTGTCTTGATTGGGGACTTGTTGGTTGATATCAGGGTCCTGACTTCTTGACTTCACACACAGATATCACTTTGAAATGTTCTGTTTTTAATTTGGGACTTAATGGTTTAGACTTCAGACTCATTAGCTAATACTTGGGATTTGGTTTGGGACATGACTCAAGATCTGTTTGTGGCATGACGTCGTTGTATGTCTAATGGTTAAAAATCCCAGAAGTACACTCACCATGTTTAATTTGTTTTAAAAGTTTGATTGCAGTGGTGAGAATTGGTTAAGATGAATTCAAGCTTGAAAAACCTTGTTGATGAATGTTAGTTGTCATGTTTATTGTCCTGATTGTTCACATCACACCTCTATTCAGAGGTAATTGCTTGTCAATAAAACTTTCTTTTGTTCAAAATCCAGTTCAATCTCAAGATGAGCAAGATGTCACTTCAGATTTTATAAAGATACGTCTCAACAAGTCTGACAGAGCAAAGCTTCCTGACAGGTCTGAACTCGCCAGTTTATCTGCACAGCTGCTCTTAGCCTTTAGATATCACTTTTTTTTGCCTTCATTTGTCCTTGTCTTTTCCTTTCTTTTAAGTCTTCATTTTTTATGAATTTTTTATTATTTTTTCTATTATTGAAGTTTATTCAGTTTTTTTCTTATTTAATTGAACTGCTTAAATCTCCTTTCACTTTGTTTGTTTATATCCGTGTGGTTTAGCACACCTGGTGCTGCAGCAGATACACTGTCCTCAGGTGTGTGTCCAGCTCTCTCAGCTCTCCGGGACCCTTTTTGTCCAGTTCCTCCTGGATCTGACGCTCCAGCTTCTGATTGACGGCCTCCAGACATTGGACCTGCAGTCACCAATCAGAGGAGACAAACAATAAATCAATAAACAGATATAATGATGTTGTTGTTTTTTTTTTTAAATCAGCTGGTTTGTCTTTATTATGAATTTCTTATACTTAACACTCTGCTAAGTCAATGCCAAACTCCACTCAGAAATCTGTTACTTTTGTGTACAACAACCATTATCAATCATTTGCAAATCTCAATTGAATGTGATTTTTTCCTGGTAGGCCAAATGTAGTAATGTCTTCTGTCTTATTTTGGAGCGTTAGCCCCTAATCTGTTTTACTGTGGGCCCCTTAAGGTGAAGTGAAGTCAAATAGGAAACCCTTCGGACAAGCCTTGGAGTGCTTGTAAAGATTTGGGTGGCTTAAACCCAACAGAAAAAAATATATTAATGTAACATGAGTAACGCCAAAAAACAATCTGAACCAATCTTTCTTTTTCCCCTCTCACAATCAGCAATTGCTTATAAACAAGAAGTACACACGTTCCTCTGTAAAACTCAATCAAGAAATCTGATAGTTTTGTGTTTTATGATTCTTAAACTATTGGTATGAGTAATCTTCCCTTGTGTCTGAAGTTTAAAAAAATCAGTTTTTACTGATATTCAATCAATCAAGACGAGCAGAAGTGAGGATTTTTTTTGATCATGTTACAGTTCACAGGACAAAAGAATACACAAGAGATCTGCTATTTTTTATTTCGTATGCTTCGAAACAGCAATGGAAATCACGTTTGAATATTAGTTTAATTTTGTTTTCTGCTGCTGCTGAATCCATCATGTGAGTCTTTTTTTGTGTTTCCCTCTTTTGCTTTTCCTACCTGCTGCAGGTACGAGGCCAGCCTCCTGTTCAGATCCTGCAGGGCGACTTTCTCCCTGGACAAACAGAAGCTTCTACTGCTGTCTCGAGCTGTAGCAGGAGTTGTGCTGTAATGCACCAGAACTCCAGGTCCATGATGAACACGGTAACCCAGAGCTGCCCAGCTCGCTCGGCCTGCACGAAGAACCTGCCACGGTGACATCTAATCACTCACTTGTGTTTACGTTCTTAAGTGCGGATGTCACACCTGGACTCATCGATGCTCCTAACATGCACTGCTCCTTTTAAAGAGTCATTCTCTGCAGAAGTGAAGACACAAACACAGGTTTTTCTCCCTTATTCTACAGCTGCATGTCTTAAACTAATCCCTCTGCTGCTGTTTAAACTCCCTGCTGTGGTTGAGCAGCCCTCTGGTGTTTCTGCCACAGATGTGTTAGGACTTGGTGAAGTGAAATTTAATCTGCATTAACCTTTAAATAGTGACATTTAGAACAGGTTTCAGCAGAATGGACGCCCTGCCCCTTTATGCTATTTTAGTGATCAGTGGAATAGAAAAGAACATCAAGTACTTACCTGTTCTGCAGTTTTTCTTTGACCTGAGGGCCAAATGGCAACTGTCCTAAACACATTATATCTTACATGACAAACTAATTTTTCTTCATACATCATCTATAATCTGAGTTAATGTGTCGTCAGTTGACGTGCATTTGTTTGAAATCACAGTAATCCCCAATTCAGCGACAGAATGATCATAAAAGATACACATTAAACAGCAATGTAAAGACTTTAGAACGTAGTAATCAGTACGGACAAAGCTCTGTTGAGCAATCTGTTCGTTTAAAATTGTCCTCCCTTAAAAGTATGTCACAATAAGATAAACAATTAAGCATAATTTTGGTGGTCTTTTTCAGCTTCTGGATCCATCATGTAAAGGAGAAAGAATGATTTTGTGTTTTTCATTTCAAGCATGAAAAATAAACAGTAGCCTATATGTTAGTGAAACCAATAAAATAAAAAACAACTACTCCATTACTCAATATCCAATACTGCTAATTATTCACATAAAATACATTCTAATCACCAATTCATATAGGGTTCAGTCAACACCAAGGTCCATTAAGAAATCTACAGTACTTTAACATTCTTTAGTTTTTAAATACACAATGTTTATTTATTAATTAGGAAAATGCAGCTGGGAGTGCATAAAAATAAATCTAATGTAATGTTAGTATATGATTTATTTAAATATATTTTTGTGTTCAGGTAAAACTGATATTCATATTCTGTCCAGCAGAGGTCACTCGCAGGAAAGACCACCTTATCTGAACTCCACACACGAAGCAGAGGCGACGGCCAATCAGAGACCAGCAGCCGCGGTCCCTGCGCCTGCGCACTCGAAAGGGGATATTTTTGTAGATATGTGTGGCTCTGGTTTTTAATGGTTATATTTAAGTGTTTGAGTGTTTGAGTGAGTGTGACCCTCCGCGGCCCAGCCTTATGGAGAACCCGAGAGACCTGGTAAGTTCTTAGGCTTGTGTCTCTCCGACTGGAAAGCGAATCCCCCCCCTCTTTGTTATGGTTGTGATAGCGGTGTTCAAGGCTGAGAAGTCAAGTCAGAAACTCCTTTAAAAAACGCAGGATTTTACAATTCCCCAGGTCTCTAATAGGAATATATACCACATGGACATGTAATTATACAATTTAATGTAGGAGCTCTATATACTCTTTCATTCGGCATATATATTCTGCGCTAAGTGTTTATTAATTTTTGTCAAAACATAGCCTTTTATAATTGTATTGCCTGTTATTCACCTGCCAAACCGGCATTGAAATGTCATGCAATATTAGATTTATCTCGTGTTAAAAAAAAACGCACCTTGATTACTGATCAGCAATTTATTTCGAGTAAACTATGCTTATGTATCTGTTGTTCGGCAAAGGTGTTCTTTACCAAGTTCCTGTTTTTTAAGGTGAATTTCCTTTTTTATTATCGCTTTGCTATTTTCCCGCTTCGTCCACTTCACTATAAAGGTGAATCAATTAGAAAACACGCGATTTCATTTGTAATCTGCGTCGTACGTGCGTTTTATAGACGCCGATCGTAAGGGCTTAACCCGGGTTTAAACCAGCCCTGGGTAATTAAAAGTGACACCCGTCTTTGGTGTCATTAATTAAAAGAAATTTCAAAAATGACATAATTGTGGAGGTCATTTGGTTTCTTATCCAGTCAAGTGCTCTCGCTTTGCCACAGCCGCCAGATCTGGCTCTTTGTTTGTCACACACACACACACACACACACACACACACACCGCACTGCAGTGGTGCAGGAGGTCACAGCTGCAAACTCACTCACAGTGGAAACCTCTGGATGCAACAGGTGTGTGTGTGTGTGTGTGTGTGTGTGTGTGTTTGTGTGTGAAGGTGTAATTCAGGGGTGGGCAACTGGCGGTCCTGGGGCCTCAGGTCAATTTTTACACATCAATTAATTGGAAACATGACAAAATCTGACATGAAATCATGAAAACTTGAAATATGTCCATAATAATATTTGATCACTGGTATATGTTGAGTTAAATTTGAGACATAATTGACTGTAATTGTTTTTGTATTCTTCAATTTGGCCACATGGCAGTGAGAATTAAACAAATGTGGCCCTCGCTGTGACCTAAGTTGCCCATCCCTGGTGTAATTAGTCACAAGTATTAGTATTACCTATTTTTAATTTTTTTCTTGAACAGGGGATTTATAATATAATTGAAAAGTATAATAATTGATTTGGATTATGTAAAAAAAAATGTAAATAAAATAAATAAAAATGACACATGTTCCAGTTAAAGTTTCTTGAATGTCTCAGAGTTGCTGTTTTATTTTTCATCTGAAAACCTAATATCTTTTGGTGTTGGCCGCTTGTTTGTTTCCTTTCTTTCTGTGTTTCCTCTCTGACTCTGTCTCCTCTCTGTCCCTGCCTTCATGTGTCTTCTTTGTCTCCTATCTGTTATCTGCATCCCTTCTCTATCTGCGTCTCCTCCTGCCTGCAGGTGGAGCGTCCGTCCAGGAAGCGCTGTGACTCCTTCGGACTGCTGGACGGTCTGGAGGAGGACCGCAGCAGCTGCAGCTCCGAGTCCAGCGGGGGCAGCGGAGGCTCCAGCCCCGAGGACAGCGAGGATGAAGATTACGGAATAGGGGGAGGAGGGGGGACTCACCTCACCTCCTCCTCCAACTCCTCTCTGACTCTCATTAAGACAAACGGACAGGTGTACACATACCCTGACGGAAAGGCTGGCATGGGTCAGTCTTAGCTTGATGAAATGTTTTCTTTCTTTTCTTTTTATTCTCCTCAAAGAGCCTCACAGCCGTTCCTTAATCATTATGATCACACATGCTGAAGTTTGTTTTCCATCAGTCTCACACCACATGCTGCCACAAATGCTCCCTAAATTCATCCTCTACTGAAAATATTCCCCCACAAAAGCACTATCACCTCTACTGTGATTATATATACATTTGATATGACACTTGACATATTTAGTAGCTTAGAACAACATAAATAAAAAGTAATTAACGCATAAAGAGTAAGAAAAAAGGTAGTAAAGGTACTTCATACCACTCTACTTTTACTGTATTATAAAATAGAGGAAATATTTACAGTTTTTATTACACTGCATGTATTTTTATTAATCATTGTTTCACAAATTATCATTTAAAGGTCACATATTCTCCTCCTTTAAAACAACTTTAAATAAGTCTCAGCGCTCCCTTAAAAACATGTCTGTGAAATTTTTTGATCTAAATCCACTCTGATCCTGTATTTGATCATGTCTATAAACCCCTCTGTTTCAGACCTGCTCAGAACAGGCTGTTTCTGTGTCTGTAGCTTTAAATATGTAAATGAGCTGTGTCTGACCACGCCCCCTCTCTGGAAGGGCTCGGGTGACTCGGGCTTTCTCGCTACATGTCCTATTGTTTACGGTGAGAAGGCAGACTCAGAGGGCAGAACAAACACCTAGCTGTGGAAGTGTCACCCACCTGGGGGAGGGGCTACTGACCTTTGTGATGTCATGAAGGGAAAATCTCCAAACGGCCTGTTTGAGCACACATTTTCTGAAAAGTGGAGCAGGCAAGAGAGGATGGACTTTTTTCATAATATTACTGTTAGAAAAACATAGCAGTGTATTTAGAATAATATGTAAATATCGGTCATACATTTGCTTTACTTTGAAAGAAGTACTTTTAATCACCGGGTACATTTAATTGTATGGCTCTGTACTTCAGCAGAAGATCCTAATTCAACTCTAAAATGATCGGCTTTTCTATGTGGATTAATCTGCTGCTGAAAATAGAAAGGAGACTTTAAGAGATAGAACTTTTTTTTGCTGAAGAGGATAATACTTTTTAACAGCTCTTATATAACCCTCCTCCGAACCACCAGACCCCGCTGACAAAAACCCTGACGTTAATTCACAGAGTACTGGAGTTGCTGCTCTACTGCTGCCTCAATCAGTTAGCCTGTTTTTGTTTTGGTTTCCCCAAAAAAAAAAAACCCCTCCTATCTCTGTGGGATCCTTCAGCGATTTGATTGATCACGTCGTCCTGTCTTTCTGCTCTTCTCAGCGACCTGTGAGATGTGTGGCATGGTGGGGGTCAGAGATGCTTTCTACAGTAAAACCAAACGTTTCTGCAGCGTCTCCTGTTCCAGAAGTTTCTCCTCCAACTCCAAGAAGGCCAGCATCCTCGCCCGACTTCAGGTACACAAACACTTAACAAAATGGAACAGGGTTTTTTTTTTGTCGTCTTAGAAGGGAAGTCTGACTCGTCTTTCTCTCTTTGTGTCTTTAAGGGGAAGCCTCCCACTAAGAAGGCCAAAGTTCTGCAGAAACAGCCTCTGATGAGTAAACTGGCTGCGTACGCTCAGCATCAGACTCACCATCAGGGCGGAGTCAAGAAGAGCGGTGAGTCCGGTCTGCTTTCTGTGGACACAGGCAGTCCTCTCTGCAGAGTCTATTAACCCTGTTATTAATGTTATAAGTGTGTTTCAGTTCGTTTGTTGTGTGTCTGCAGTCACTCTGGACATGTTCGACTGGGGTCGTTACCTGGGAGACGGAGACGTGATGGGAGCACCAGTTAACTGCTTCAAACATGTGGGTGCATCGCACACATACTGTACACACAATCACACAAACACACACTCAAACTCCGGGCTTGTTTAACATTTTTCTGTTTTATAAGATTACTTTTAACTCACTTAAAAACACAAACTGGTTTTAGTGGAGGGGGTGGGGGGGGGGTCTTTCTTTGTATTCAGTTTGTATGGTGGAGGTCTTCGTAAGGACAAAAGTCACCAAATGAAAAGAGCAGAGAGGAAGAAATAAAAACACTTCAAACTGTGATTGTCTGTCACTTACTGTCATGCTGGTCTGTGCTCAGGTTCCCATGGGGACGTCGTGGGGCGGCATCAGTGAAGGCGTGCGGATTGAAGTCCCAAACACTGACAGCGGTCTGCCGTTGAAGGTTTACTGGATTGCTGGAATCATCAAACTGGCTGGTACACACACACACACACACACACACACACACACACACACACACACACACACACACACACACACACACACACACACACACACACACACACACACACACACACACACACACACACACACAGTCTCAGAAACGCTATTGTTGTGGTTTATGAGAAGGGGCTTCTTTTAGCAAGTTGAGATTTTGTTTTCTGTGCTAGCCTTTGGACTTCTTACTGGAGAATTTTAGCGAATAAACCTTCTCTAAAGTGATGATGAGGTGGGTGTGTGTATGTGCAGGTTTTAAAGCTTTGCTGCGGTACGAGGGATTCGACAGCGACTCCACCAGAGACTTCTGGTTGAACCTGTGTGTGCCGGACATCCACCCCGTGGGCTGGTGTGCTGCAGGGGGCAAACCTCTGGTACCCCCCCAGAGTAAGAGACACAACATAAACTGCATGTAGAGTCACACTAGAGCAGCATCCGGCTACTAGAATGAAATGAGCTCAATATGAAGGTTTGGACTAGTATTTCAAACCTCATACATATTATGGGGTCTAAATGACTGAAGTATACAAAGTCGTTTTCTTCAGCCTGCAGCAGTAAAACAGGCCGTGATGGCTGCAATGCAATCTTTGATATTTTAACAACAAATAGATTCTCATTGTCTTTAAAGCCAGCAGCTGGGTAGTTTAAACAAAGGTCTTCTGGTAAGAACAAGTGTGTGTAGGTCTTTTATCTTGGGATTTTATCAATGTACAAGATTAAAATTGATGTTAATTTTTGACAGCAATGTACCACTTTTTTTTCCCCGTGTGGGTCCTTGAGAGGATCAGCTTCTGTTTGAAACAAGTTGAGGGGGCTCTAAGGGAAAGGGTTAAAACAACTGATATTTATGTTGTAATGTGTGTGTGTGTGTGTGTGTGTGTGTGTGTGTACACAGCCATTCTGCACAGATTCACAAACTGGAAGACGTTTCTGGTCAAAAGACTGACTGGTTCCAAAACACTGCCGCCAGACTTCGCTTCCAAGGTCAGACACACATTTCTACATTTGTCTACTTGTGAGGTCCCTGAATCATGAAATCCACTCCTTGTTTTAACTCTAAAGTCTGAACCTTCAAACAATATTCCTCCTCCTCCTCCTCCTCATCATCATCAGGTGCAGGAGAGCATGCAGGTCCCCTTTAAGAAGCAGATGAGGGTGGAGGTGGTGGATAAAACTCACCTGTGCAGGACGCGGGTCGCTTTAGTGGAACAGGTGAGACTCGGACAGAAAAGAGTGCAAATGTCTTATGATTTTGTGTTTTTATTGATTTGTGTGTGTGTGTTGTTGTTGTTGCAGGTGATTGGCGGTCGTCTCCGCCTGGTGTACGAGGAGTGTGAAGACGGGACCGACGACTTCTGGTGCCACATGTACAGTCCTCTGATCCACAACATAGGCTGGTCCCGATCCATCGGACACCGATTCAAGCGGTCTGGTGGGTTCAAGTTTCTGACGTGTAATGAGCTCTAACAGATCGCCACTAGATGCAGTGACATGCACACGTTTTTCATTCTGACTGAAGATTCAGATCAGCAGTTTGAAAGGGATTGAAACTTGACGAATGAAATAAGAGCAGCCGACATCTGTGTTTTGATCAGACCGCTGAAGATAAATATCTCTAATCTTTGTGTGTTTATGTTGCTCCTAAAAAAAAACAACAGTTTACAACAACCTTCGTTGTAAATCTTCACACACAAATATATCAAGAACGAGCAGCAGCTTCCAGAGCTGATAAACGAAGCCAGAGTAAAAGTGCAAAAAAACTGCAGTTCCTCGAGTGTCCACCTGAGGCTGGCTCCAAAAGTGAGTCTATCCTTAAAAGGCCTCAGGCTAAAATGTCCAACTATACTGCACAAATATACATGTTAGCAGCCAAGTTCAGAATGAATATCGTACAGACCTGTGACATTTGTGCACCAGAAAACCTTTAATTTAAAGAAACATCGGATAATCAGATGCTCTGTTTTAAGGAATAGCTGTGTGTGTTTCCAGATGTTTCCAAGAAGCTCGGCAGTTTAATGGACGCTCCTGGACAGCTGTTTGCAAAGGTGAGAATGAAAATAAACATGGCCATCAGTCAGTCAGTCAGTCTGTCTGTTTGTTACCCAGCCAGTACAACACCTGGCTTTTTATTTCACATCAACTCAAATGTTGACCCTTTTATCTGCTACTTTTTGTTTGATTAAAAATGAGTCAAGTACTGTATGTACCTGTGCAGGTAAAGGAGGTGGACCAGAGCGGCTCCTGGTTTGAAGATGGGATGAAGTTGGAGGCCATCGACCCTCTGAACCTTTCTGCCATCTGTGTGGCGACAGTTAGGAAGGTAAATAGCGATGATCGTAGCGACTTGTTTCTCTGTTGATTAAACACACGTTTTACTCCGGCCTAGTCGAGTAGTGCTGTGGACCAGATCCAAACTCAGTCCATAAACCACCTATACCCTCTCTTCATCAGGTCCTAGCAGATGGATATCTGATGATCGGGATCGATGGCTCTGAGGCAGCTGATGGGTCAGACTGGTTCTGTTATCACTCCACCTCTCCTTCCATCTTCCCCGCTGGCTTCTGTGAGATCAACAACATCGAGCTGACGCCTCCTAGAGGTAAATCTGCATATACACTTATTTAGAGAAACAGGAAATGAATGAATGAAATGTTTAATATTGTGTCATGAAGCAAACATTGTTTTTTTACATTACCCTACAGTGATGCATTTTTCATAGAAACAAAGCATGTATATATCACTCCTCTTCTTCTTCTTGTCTCGTTTTTGTGTCCGTCAGGTTACAGCACTCTTCCCTTCAGGTGGTTCGAGTATCTGAAGGAGACGAAATCTGTGGCTGCTCCTGTCACCCTCTTCAACAAGGTCAGAGAACAAACACTATAAAACTATGTGCAGCTCAACTCAGCTGATGAATCTAAAATAATATCCTCCTCATGACGTCAAACATTTCATTTTGTTACTGTTCCTTTTGAACTGTTTTTATTTAATTTCTGATCGGTTACAAGTTCCTTTTATAGGAAGTAAATGTCGTACTCTTCAGTCCTTACTTTTTTTCAAAATAAAAGCGGGGGTGAATTCAAACAGAAAGTACTCTCAATTAAAGTTTAACTATATTTATTTTTAAATGCGAAATAATGACATGACAAAATGCGATTAATCGCGATGAAAAAATGTAATCGTCTGACAGCGCTTAATAATTTCATATTGACACTGAAGCTTTTTTCTTATTTTACACATATTTAGAATTTAGAGTTTGCATGTAACTGTTTTATAAGAATGTTGCATAACTAACCACTGGACATTTTAAATGTACTGTAACATGTTTCCTTCTTCTTTAATATTAATAATAATAATGAACTCTGTTCTGTGTTTTCATGGTCAGGATGTTCCTAATCACGGTTTCCATCCTGGGATGAAGCTGGAGGCCGTGGACCTCATGGAGCCCAGGTTGGTCTGCGTTGCCACGGTGACCCGCATCGTACACCGGTTGCTACGGATACACTTTGACGGCTGGGAGGACGAGTACGATCAGTGGGTGGACTGTGAGTCACCTGACCTGTATCCTGTGGGCTGGTGTCAGCTGACCGGGTACCAGCTGCAGCCACCCGCCGTTAACGCAGGTCAGTACTGAACTGAAAATATACAATTTAAGATCCTGTCCCGTCAGCTGGTTTGGAGAACGTGTTGACAATTTAAAAAAAAAATGTGTTTCAGGCTCAAGAGATCTTCAGTCAGCAGCGTCCAAACAGAGAAAGAAATCTCAGCAGTACAGAGGACAGAAGAAAAGTGTGTCTCGAGAACTCAACAGCATTTAAAGATTTATTTTACAACTGATACTTTTAGGTTTCCAATAAATCGCAAATCATCACAGATGGTCCTTCAAAAAGTGATTTCCTTCCTGTCTGACTCTGTTTTCTCAGAGAGGAAGTTGCCCATAGCTAAGCGACCCGTCAGTCTCTCAGGCGCCGTGGTAACGGGCGTCCCCAGGAGCCTTTCAGGAGATGAGAATGAGACTCCGCCTAATTACCCATCACCCCCAACTCCAGCCTCAGCAGCCCAGCCCCCCTCTGTGGATCCCCAGCGCAGCCCCAACACTGAGGGGGGGCCAGGTACACACACACACACACACACACACACACACACACACACACACATACACGCACGCACACATCTTACCGTCCCCATGAAACGGAAGAGAGTGGGGAATGACATGCAGCAAAGTTGATGCCGCGCAGCTCGCCTTGGGAGCTTTAGCATCAGTGAATGGGGTGTGCGATATAACCGCTAGACTATCTGGCGCCCCTGGTACAAGTTCCTTATGTTTTAAGTTAGTTGAAATGATTGACTAATTATACTTGTAATCATTTTTGCAAACTGTAGTATCAGTAAAAAAAATTACATTTTCACATTAATTTGCACTTTGAAATTAAATTTTTACACCTTCCCTATATATCGGACAGCTTTTGTTACTTGCAGGTTTACATTAATTATTTAAAGCCTTTAAGTTTAACCCTGCGATGTCCTCCTAAACGTCCTCTTCGTTTCTGCAGGTTCACAGATTAAAGAGGAGAACGTGGAGGGATCAGAGTTTTCTTCAGAGAGGACTGAAACTGAAACCAACGGATCTTCTGGAGAATTATTTAACAACCAGGACCAGTAGGCCTAATCCATCCCTTTATCTCTCACTCTATCCATCAAAACCCTAAATTTAGCCCTTGTTCATTTCAAAATACATTTCTTTGTCCTGCTCAGTATTCATCTCTGTGCCCGGTCAGACCAGGAAGTGGAACAGATCCATTTATTCACTCATAAATGAACTCCCATGAAGTTTTGAAAGCTTGTTGATGAAGTGAGGGTTGTTTCTAAAATTAAAGAAATCAAGCTTTTAGACTCATTATATCCCAAATGAAAGCTTTTATCTGAACTAAACCCTTATGAACAATCATTTAAAGATTTCAGATTTTCAATAAGACAATATGTATTACTCCTGCCCTGGATACAGCCCTGAAAAGAGGGTGACTAACAGGCTAGCTGGCTGCGCTAGTCGGGCATGCTAGCCCACCAAGCTAGCTGGTAGCTAACTGTCAGTTAGAAATCTGATTCCTTCTGCTTATTTAGGATTTGACTCCAGACAAATTATATTGAATTATTGAAGATGTTTCTTCATGGGGTACATCCACTGCAACAGCGTTAGGTATTAATAAACTATGTGTAAAAGTCAACCACGGTATAACGCTAGCACCTGCCAGTTAGCATGTGACGATCTAGTCAAGGTTTTTTGACAGTTGTTGATCATTTCCCACCTTATTTGTCTTCATACATCGTTCGCAACTTCCGTTTTAAAAGTCAGCCACAGAAACATATAAAGGTAGCTGCTACTGACCGTCAGTTCTAGCTAGCTAGTTCAGCGGCTAAAACGTCAAAAGCCAGATTAATCAAAGCAGTTGCATCTATTGTTGTGAAGCATTGAAAAGGCAAAGGTTAGCGCTATCTAAATGAGTCTGGCTAAAGGCTAACTAACTTAATTCTTCTCTGCATGATATACCTTCACTCAAAATATTATATAACGAACATTATATTTATTTCTTACGACCTAGCTATTTTTAATCTGTTTATTCAGGGCCATATTCTTGCTAAAAACATGCTAGTACCAGCTTGCCACAATAAGACAGCTAGCTAGCTAGTATGTACATTAGGCAGCTTTTATTAAATATATTTATGCATAAATCTCTGTTATTTAGTATGAATTGAATTATTTTAAGCATAAATGTGGTGTTGGTCTGACCGGGTTTCATTCTTTATTTTCCAAACTGTCTCTCATATCCTTCCTGGACTTTCCCAAGAACAAAACACCTTTCACACATTTCACTGACATGTTGTAAAAGCTGTAGTTCTACCTGAAGTATCACTAAAATCTCTTAAAACTCTTCTGATTTAAAAAGGGCAAAAAAAGAAAGAACAGAAAGAGAGAGTTCCACTGAAAAAGAAAAATAAGGAGATAAGAAAACTTTTATATAATGTTTTTTTAACATACATTTCTTTGTTGTTTGTATATGTTGATGTTGTGTTCAAGGGTCAGAACTCTTGACGTAATAATAATAATACTGGATGCTGTGTAATGTCATGTTGAGATTAGCAGTGATTTAAAAAAAAACTTGCGTGTGTTTGTGTGTTTGGGCATGTGTGTTGACGTTTTGATTCTGAAGAGTTATCAGAATGAAACAAGAAACCAGCCTATAGGAGCCACAGCAGTTAAACTGGTTTAGTTTTTCAAATCCTTAATTGTATTCAGAAGGCCAGTTTCTGCAGATATAAGACCATCTGTCTTCTACAGTAATAATAATAATATACAGTATTGTTCCTTTACTTTCAAATGTCATTTAGTGGAAATGTATAAAACACGGCAAAAGCGAGTGAGGTTTGGTTGAAGTTGTTTTTTCAAAATTCATATCAACATAAAATACTTTTTTTCTGAAAATCACCTCACCTCTTAAAGTTAAGAGTAGCTGCAATAAATAAATATCCCAAATATTGCAATAAGAGATTTATCTACTGTGCATCTGGTCATAAAGTTTAGAGGTTTTAACATTGGTGCCAATTCAGTTGTTGAGTTCCTGAGCAATGTCAAATAATTTGACGCCTTTATACTCTTGATTTTACCACTTAAGACAAAATGTCAAAGTTCTCAAATAAATCTAAGATTCATGTCTTAAAGGTCACATATTATGCAAAATACAGTTTACTATGTTTTTTAACACTTACATGTGTCCTCAGTTTGTCTACAAACCCCCAAATTATGAGAAAAGTCCATCCTGTCCGTCTTTTGCCTGCTCCACTTTTCAGAAAATGTACTCAAACAGGCCATTTGGAGATTTTCCCTTCATGACATCACAAAGGACAGTAACCCCTCCCCCAGGTGGGTGACACTCCCACAGCTAGGTGTTTGTTCTGCCCTCTGAGTCTGCCTTCTCACTGTAAACAATAGGACAGGGAGCGAGAAAGTCCGAGTACACCCAAGCCCTTCCAGAGAGGGGGCGTGGTCAGACACAGCTCATTTGCATTTAAAGCTACAGACACAGAAACAGCCTGTTCTGAACAGGGATGAAATAGAGGGGTTTATAGGCATGATCACATACAGGATCAGAGTGGATTTAGAACAAGACACTTCACAGACATGTTTTTGGGAGCTCTGAAACTTATTTGAAGTTGTTGAAAATTAGAATAATATCTGACCTTTAACATTAAACTTAAAAGTAGTACAATTTGTTTTAAGTCAGGAATTATGATTACATTTTAATAGTTACTTTAATCTCTGACCAGAGCTAGGAGCTATGTTTTTTTCTCTTATCCGCTGCTTTAAAAATGCATCCATTGCAGGGTGTTGGTATAGAAATAACAAACTTCTGTTGATAAATGTGACTTCTTGATACCTCATTAAAAGAGTTTGTTACTTGACGATCTAATGAATTTATCAAAAATATCACAGATTATTTAAAAAACACTTAAGAGTTTATTGTATAAGAAAAAACTTAAGTAATGAGGATCAAAACATTTTAAAAAAGAGATACAAAAATAACCTTTACAAATGTAATGTATCAACCCACAGATTTATACAGAAACTAAACTAAATATGTGTTTAAAAAATATACCACTACAACAATAGTATCATACATAAAACATTTTAGTTATTCATCACTACATTCACAACAGGAAACAAATCTTTATGAACTTTTGTTTAGCATCATTTCTTTATGTTAGAGCAATCTTTACACTCCTCTGCAGCTCACTGCTAACATGCCAGAACTATATGTTAGCGTATGCTATTGACAATACATGTGAAGATGATTATTGTTAGCCTGTTACACTTGGCGGACATATTACAATTCTGCTCCGCGAGTAGGTTCTCCAGAAACTGTTCAGCTAAAAAAATAACAAGTCTACGAGCCGGTATGTACTCATGATGGAATGTTTGTTTCAGTTTGATTTCTTGGCTCCGGCAGACAAATAGTTTTATTACCCATCATGGACTAGATGGACATTAAACATAATTTAAGGGCTCATTGTGGCAAATTCCACTTGAGAGAAGATATTGCCAGAGCAGCTTAATGATGCTATTGTGTGAAAATTAGGGCTGTCAAACGAGTTCAATTTCTAATTGTAATTAATCACTGAGTTTTTTTGATTGAATGTTTGAAATGTCATTATATTGCATTTTTAATCCGTTTTTGTTATGCTTTTATTATCCATTTTTGTACTGTCTTAAGATAAGGGTGCTTTACTTCCTGTTCCTGATTCAAACCTGCTTTTATTTTGGAAGAAACTAAGGAAGCTCCAGTAGATCGTAGGCTATAACATCAACTCAACCATGTAAAAATGAACGGGGAAAGAGAGGCGGAGCTTATGACCTATACTGCAGCCAGTCACAAGGGAGAGCTTTGAATGTTTTGGCTTCTCTTTTGGGGAACTGTCCTGTTGTCCATATTTTTATTCAGTCTTTGGATCCCACAAAATCCAAGCATGTGTTTAAGGCCTTCATAGTATTACAATTGTTTTTGTTGCATTTCCAACACAAAAAAAGTAATGACAAAAACGCACAACTAAAGTGTTATAGGGCTCAAAGTGTATAACAAAAAGGACTTGTGTGTGTGTGTGTTTGTGTGTGTGTTTGTGTGTGTTTGTGTGCGTGTGTGTGTGTGTGTGTGTGTGTGTTTAAAGTCAAGAGTGTGTGTGCATGCATCAGTCAAAGCAGTTTGCACACTGGTCTACTAGCTGTAGTTCTTGTTACATGCACTACTGTACTGTGTGTATGTCGTCTGTCTGTGCTTGTCGTCTTTTTGTACGTGAATGTCTCGAAGTCTTTTTTGTATCATGGTGCTATCTATTCATGAATCACATTTGATACAATATGATGGGATTATTTTGACAGATTGTTTGTGTCTCTGGTGAAGAAGTTGTATTTTGGACAAAGATTTTTGTTTATGAAAAAAAAATTGTGTTTAAGGTTTAAACCCGCTCAGTTTAAGGAATAGTGTGCACTGTCATTGGAGTGATTGATTTCAATTCTCCCCTATTCTATGATCCTCTTTGTCAATTTGTGAAGTTGTATTAGTATGTTAAGCATAGGAACAAGGACTCAATGGTTTTCTGCTGGGTGTACAGTGACTTACTGATGTGGCAGTATTTTCTTGGACAAAGAGGCAAAATACGTTTTTTTAACTGGAGAGCGAGACCAGCTGTGGTTGCTTATCAGTTTTTAAACTTGTAATCTCAAGATAGCACAGGCCATAACTGAAAACATATGTTCACTATAAGGAGTTTATTAGATATGAAAGTGTACGCATTTGGGAATACCTTGCGATACAACTAAAAATAAATACAAGTAAGGGAAAATTCAAATCAAAATTAGGACTCTCTTTTTCATCAGCAGAGGGCGCTATCGACTGTTGGCTTCTCTTGTTCGACATCAGTAGCTGAAGAAGAGAGGCGTTCAGACAGTGTGGAAGTAAAGAAGATAGGTAAAGAATACGTATTGTTTCAAAGCGAGGTGTGAGAAGACATTTTTGCATCTCATCCAAGGCTGAATTTAAAGTATAATTTTTTTTACCTGATTAGCTTGACTATAATTTAGGCTTCATTTAAGTCCTGATTTGATTAATTTGTGCCAAACCAGCATTTTGTCCTCTTAAATTACAAAAGGAGTTCTGAGTCATGATTATCGAGTATTTAGTCTCTCCCGGCTGATTCTTGAACCTGAAGAATTACGAGCAACCATGGCGACTCTCAAGCTCTACGGCTGTTAGACATCGGCAGCACTTTTTTTATTTTGTCTTCTTTTGACACTCTTTTTTTGAAACAGGCAAATAATCAAGCCTCTGTCTTGTGCTTACTTGTTGTAAATGTAAATGTAGACTTTGCAGTACTTCACATGTAGCCTTCAAATCCTGCAAAACAGAGCCGACGAAAAGAAAACCAGAAAAAAGAACCTTCACTAAGCTAAAGTTTGCAGAGACGGTCAAGTTTGATTTATTTATTCTTTAAATACACGTGGCATTGGATAAACAATTTTGAATTTGAATCTCTCTGTGTCTGTTAATGTCCACTTGGTCCACACGTTCGTGCTGTGAACATGAAGTTTACTGAGCTCTTATTAAAAAAGACAAATGTTTTTTTAAAGTCTATGTATGATACAAAAAAAAAATCTATACTGGAAGTGTATGACAAAAGAAATGTAATGTACTTATGTTAACTTTCATGGAACTTTTGTAAAACATTGTGCAATTTTTGGCAGCATGATTGTGAAGAAATTATTACATTTAGATGACTCACTTTACATTTTTATGCAATAAAAAGTTATGAGGAAAAAAAAGCGCTTTCTGTTCTTTCCCTGTACATTTTCTCCACATTCTTGCCGATTGCAAATATTGCAAAAATATATATTTTTCGTTTTTAGTACAGTTGCCAGCGGTTATGGTAGATTTTTGCTTTTGGGGGCTAATCTGATCCTCCTGAAATGTGGTCCATAAAAGACCTTAAAAGTGAAAAGTTATCTAAAGCATGTGCTAAACTCAAAAGGCGTGGCCAGGGCGGTTCACCGAATTTGATGTCTAACCATGAAACAGGAAGCTGCTGTAACTCAAAGCAAACACAGTCCGCTTCATGTATTTTAAGAAAGTTACCCTCTGTGCATCTACATGCCAATAGTCTAAAACAAATGACAGTTCACAACCCTCTTGACTGTTCTGTCAGATAAAGACGCTGCGACTGCAGGTACAGGTACTGTATCGAGGGTTGCGCTTTTGGAAGCAATAATCCATGTCTCCAGAGTGAGTATTGAGTATTTGAACGTTTAGGTACAACACTGTACATGGCATCGCATTGGCCTAACTTTTTAGACTCTGTGGTGACACAGAGTCAGAGCAAACTTTACAGCTTCTACATTTCTGCATGTTAGCCTGTAGTTCATATCGTTGCTAGCATTACTGCAAACTACGGGCTGATAACAGAACGTATTAAAAAGCGTTCAAATGAAACGGATACAGAAAGTGTGAAAGTTTTTGTTAACATTTAGACTTTATTGACAAGTGCTACATGTTTGGGATTGATGAATGAAGACCAAGTTGGAGAATCAACTGCGGGAACGACAGGTGGGACGGGGTCAGTGGGGTGGATGAGGTCCAGTCAGGAGTAATTTGCTGGTTTTTGGTTGGCAGGTTTACTCGTACAGCCAGGGCTGGGCGCAGGAAGCGTAGGTGACGAACTCCTCTGCCTTGAACCACAGTGCGACCTCCTTCTTGGCATTCTCCAGGGTGTCACTGCCGTGGATGATGTTCCTGAGAAAACAGAGGAAAAAGGTTAGTGAAGGAATGGTTGCATGAATAATCATGTTTAAACATAAACACAATATTTAAAATGTAAATTGACGAATACATTTAAAAGTACCTTTTCATATTTTAACGCAATAATGTAACCTTTTTTAGAAAGTTTATTTTGTGAGTTTATTCTGCAAAATGTTAAATTGCAGAAAACTGTAACTTGCTACAGATGATGGAAAGCCATTACACCATCAGAAACATTTTATATATAGTATGTGCGTTTATCTCTGCTCACCTGCCAATGTTGATGCACAGGTCACCACGGATGCTACCAGGCTTGGAGTCAGCGGGGTTGGTCTCACCCAACATCATCCTGGACATCTTCACAATGCTCTCACCCTCCCACACCTGTGGACACATTTAAACACCGGTTACCCGTGTGACCAGGAAGGTATGATCGTTTCCAGATTGTTTAGAGCAATTACCAACAGTAACACTGATTTTGGTAAAAGTTTCACATAATTAAATCAAGTATGTGAGGTGGCGATGGATATCAACCTACTAGCTGAAGTCCCAAGTAAAGAATAGACTATAGTTTGGTAGGCTTAGCATGAATCAAGCCAGTTTAAAATCATTGACTTCAGAGGAAGGATCTGAAAGCCTCTCCATAGCTGCCGTTAAGATCCATATGTAAATAAATGATGTGGAACATATGCTGTAATGTTAAAAGGAATCTGTAACACGTCCAAGCTGATATGTCATGTGAGTGTCCTTTTTAGAGGTTAAGACCTCGCAGTCTGAATGTGACAATGTTCGACTCCATGAATGGAGAGAGACCTTGAACACGAAGAGAGTGTGAAGAGAGCACGAGGACAGCTGGGCGAGCGAGCACGGATAAAAAAGGGAAGACGGTGTTGATTAAATGGAAAGAGATAAAAAGAGAAAGATATCTGACAGAGTGCCGGATGACTGTGTAGTGTGCGTGGGCTTGTGTGTTAATGCTTATTTATGTGTGTGTTACCATGGCCAAGATGGGTCCAGAGGACATGTATTTGCACAGTCCAGCATAGAAAGGCATGTCCTTCAGGTCCAGGTAGTGGTTCTTCATGTGTTCCTCAGAGGCCTTGAAACCAACACAAAATATAAAATATTAATGCAAATACAAAGCTGTGCAAAGAAAGTACATTCACTGAAGTTTCATTCTTAGGTTCTTATACCTGAGTGTATTAATGAAGCACTGAATACTGGATTAGCTTGACCTCATTCTTTCCCAAATTTTAAACAGCAGTTCAAGAAATCCCTTTCAGTTCTGAGAGTGAGAAGACTAGACTATATTTCACTTCTATTGTGTTTAATTTCAGCACAGTACAGGGCAGTGCCGGAGCCTAGCTTAACATAAGTTACCATAATTTTGCTGCACCATAATGCAGCCGAGAGGTTGTTTCATCCTTAAAAAGAATAATTTACAACCTCTACGCAGATGATACACAACTCTATGTCTCTGTTTTGTGTGATTTTTTTTAAGTCCAGTTTTTTGTTATTTCTAATTAAGGTGAACCTCTGTTTGAGTTCATCCTTTAATGTACATAGTTTATTCATTCACACAGCCAGTGAGGGGATTAACACTGCCAAACACAACAGCTGGGAATAACATCACTGAGTGTTTGATAGCGATACCAGTATGAGTCCTTCAACAACTCAGCAGCTGTCATCTCCTCTCACAAATCTAATACCTACTCAGTGTGCTCCTGTACTTCTATCTTTGTGTGGGCTAGTTTACTTGTGCTTCAAAAGCAAATCAGAAAGGGAGGAATGTTTGAGGCATTTTAAAATGAGTTTAAAATTATCAAAATTTGCTGCAAACAAGTAGCTTTATATCTAAAATGTTATTACTATACATCTGAACCTATAAGTCACTTTTTAATTTTTTTTGTGGTTTTTAAGGTAAGAACTTAGCGTGTATGTGAGTAATTAACCCTTCACTCAGTTCTCTATGTTCCTAAAACAAAGTCCTGTTTAAATAACTGTTATCTTGCAGTCTTCTTGGTTACCTGGACAAATTTGGCGGCAACCAGCTTGTAGCCTCTGGTCTCGAAACGCTTGATGATCTCACCACACAGTCCTCTCTGGACGCCATCAGGCTTCACAGCAATGAAGGTACGCTCCATTTCGGCTTAGAGAAGGCTACGGACACACAATCGACACAGAAGAGGAAAAAGCACAATTTAACAGTAAAATCTGAAGATGAATGATGTCAGGACTTAAGAATGTGTTTGTATTACAGTTAGGTTTTAAAATTGACACAAATCTTCTGCACTGATGATGTACGTTTTTTTTAAGTAGAACAATCTCCAGGGCTCCATTTAGTACTTTTTTTTAACCTTCTGGTTTCCTTATGAAATCCACATACAGATCTAAAAAACATTATTAAATATCAGAATTTTTCCGTGATAGTTTGGTTAAAGACTATATATGCCAAAATACCTAACAACTGCATTCTTTTTGATGTCCAGCAAGGGGAGACTCTACTGGGTGCAAATAAGAGTCTGATGGGATAGAAGTCAATGAGGAAATGAGCCTAAAGTCTAAGAACTTAGTCGCAAAGGGCTCTCTGTGCTTATTCTCTGAATTTCCCCTTAATTTATGCCACGTGTCCATCATTTGGCTTTATAATTGTAGATGACAGCAGCTCAGTATCACCCTAAGATCATACGTTTTTTATGTAAGCTACTCCTCATCAGAGAAACTTAAATTTGCTGAACGTGAAATCAAAACTGCCTTCTGAGTTTTTTTCTGGCAGTGTTTTCTTCTCTCTCAGCACAGAGAAACCATTCACTGAAAGACGACACCGGCTCAGACAAAGCATTGGCTGCGAGGCTTTCTAATTTTACTGCCTGTTGGTATCTGTTCATGTGAAGCCGATATGAGCTGAAGGCAGGTGGCTCTGGCAGGACTTCAGGCTGGGAGAGGGGAAAAATGCCTGTCAGCTTTGGGGGGTGAGGTTTCTGCACTCTAATTAGGGTTCAGGGTCACATATAACATCAAACATAACATTTTACGTCTCCTTTTCTGTCCTATGAGCCGCATGATGATGGAAGATAATTGAAGGCTGGACAGTTTAACAGCCCTTATTCTGCACAAAATAGACTAGACAGCGCTGCATGTCTCTGGGCAATCCTGAAAAGACTTCAATCAAATTCATTGTTTTTTGTCCTGAAAGGATAAACCCTTTAAGGTTAAGTGAATCTCCAGTATAGCCATCAGGCCATTGACAAACTACTACTACAATTTATTACATAATATTCTATGAGTGTTATTACACCTTTTAACTGAACATATCCCAAGCTGTTTATTAAGTTATTTAGGTAAAGTAAGTCTAAGTATAGAGGCTCGTGAGGCTCTCTAGCTGAAAACTATCAAAACTAACTGACTTAAAATATTTTTTTGCAGCAGAGATAGAAGACACAAAAGTATGGGATACTAGATCTTACTAAAACATTTTTAAGAGAGAATCTTGAGAACTTTGTCTCATCACATGCTGTCACTGAAGTAACTGAACATGTGCAGCATGCAGACATGAATAAGTTTACTTTGGGGTTAAAATTATAGTCAAGTCGTTTTTTTGGTTTGTCGTGTACATCTCAATGAAATAAAACCTTTAAGAAAAATAGCAGAAACTAACTTTGATGTGTGTGTGATATCTACCTTGGTTTGGGGTTGAGGAGAACTTGTGAAGACGAGCAGCGGGGAAGTGATCACCGAGGCCTAACACCGAAAGAGGAGCTCTATTTAAAGGCCTTACTGGCGGGGGAGGGGTAGGAGGGGTCCACATTTTTTTTGCGTGTGTATGTGTTTGCGTGTCAAGTCGGGGGGTGTACAGTATAGGTGGCTGAAACTGTGTTGCTGGTTGACAGATCTGTTGAAGAATAACAAGTTCAGTGTGTGTCTGTGTGTTTGTCAATCTATCTTTGTGGGGACAGATGTTTTAAGATTTCCTTAGATATGGGGTCATTTGTGCAAAGTGATGACATTTTGATTGGAAAAACATTGTGATAACCACTGTACCACCATGCAGCCCAAATGTAGATACTTTCACATGTATATCAGTTAGTTTGTGGAACCACCTGCTTTTATTTCAATTCTTCATTATAAGTCCTTTCCTCAATGTATATCTCTTTTGCACCTAGTATAAAATATATGACCTTATGACATTTTAAAATGTCTAATATTAAAAGATATGAGTAAGAAGTACCTGTACCAACCAAACACATGACTGTTACTAGTCAAAAATAGAGGTGATTCTACTGAGATCAGCTATGCTAGTTAGCGTGACTCAGTTTTTTTTCTTGTCCTCGATCTTTTTCTATCTAGATTTTTTGAAACTGCAGATATGTTCTGTCTACACGCTGTGCAAATTCTGTCATACTTGGCAAAGAGTGATAGTGAGTGATAATGGCTGATTGATTCCCACACATATGTGCATGTTTCTTTGTTTTTATTGGTTTGATTTTCACACAGGACCTTTTTAAAGACAGGCAGTCTTTTTTAAATTATTTTTGCCGTCTACTGGCAGACTCTTTTTGGGACTTTGTGCCCATTGCAAAAGAAATTTAATAATCAAAAAAAGATATGTTAACAATACCCCAATTTTTGGGCTAGGCCTAGCCATGGCTACCTTACCAGTCTACACTTGATATAACACTCTTTCTGCTGCATTTAACAGTTTTCTATATTTATATTCACACATGTGAATATCATACGTGACAGAGGCTAGAAAAGCATCTCACTATGTCCTCCACATACAGTCAGTGTTTGGCTTAGGCTCAGTGCTGTCAGCACAATCATGTTTGAGCCTCAGTCTGAACTCAGTCAGCTGCTGCTTCACTCAGATATCAGCGTTCAGATTTCTTGCTGCATCAGTTTGTTCACGAGTCCACCAGACAGATGCACAGAGAGCAGTCTGTTAGAGCCGACATTAAGTCAGAAGTTCTAAATGCAAAATTGAAAAAAACACATTTTGTCTTATAAAAAAATGCTTTACAATTGTGATGCAAATTGGCATCTTTTTTGCTTCACCCCATGGAAAAAGGGTTTGTCTGTCACAAATTGTGTGGCCTCTAATGTTACTGACCTAATTTACTGGTTCACCATAAGAGAGCATGGAGAGACTTCCAATCAGAGAGCTTCAAATTATGTTGCCATGCAGCTGAAGGCGGGATCAAGTTTGAGGTTTATCTTTTTGGAAGTCACTGAAAAGATCTGGAAGCTGTAACAACTTTGCACATCCCCCTTAGCTACTATTTCTGTAGCCTATTGTCCATTTTTGCACTTTTGCTTTTCACAAGGACAGTTTACAAAGAAACGTTGGCCTCAATCAAAACTTGAAAAGTAGCTTCTCCTTTGTGTTAGCAGAAAAGCAAACAAAAGTCGAGTTGGCTCTACTAAACTACAATTAACCCTCTACTGCACAGTGTTGCCATATGGTTTTAATATTGCTACTATTTTTATAGTTAAAGGTTATACACATCTAAGTATTGAAAGAAGCTATGAATAGCATTTTTTACTCTTTACTCTTTCTATCCCGATTTATCATCTATGTGTGCACCATCTTTAATACTTCTGTAGGCAACGAGCAGGTTCTGACCTTACTCTTTTTCATAATGTTTACATATGTTGCATGTATCAAAGATAATGCATCAGTAATATTATTCCAAAAGCCATGAGTAAATAATAAATAATACTTTGATACACATTTCCACCTGCACAGTTAACCCCTAACCCTGTTACTTTTACCTATTCTTTTTTTTAATTTTGCTGATAGTACTGTAACTGAAGTAAATTGCAGGACTTCTACTTGTGATGAAGTATTTCTATATTTGATCACATTTTCCATCAGTACACTCCTGCTGCAAAGTGATCAGGTGTAAAGTATTATATAAGTGGGGGTCTCATTCTGCACCTGTTATATAATAACTGAACACACACACACACACACACACACACACTTCAGCAGCCTCGCAAACACACACTCCAACACTCTCTTCTATATGTGTCTTTTAATCTGAAGCTCCAACCTTAACCCTTCCCCCAAATTTGACCCTAAATATAAACCTTCTCCTAATCAGGGATGGAAAGCTGTCCTCCCTTGGGGGTACAGGTTCAGTCTGGAGTCCTGAGGGGGGGATGCTGGGACCCTATCAGCTGAATTTAAAAAACAACTCCCCTCTCACGCACACACTCCAGATTTTAACCCGTCTTACATTGCAGAACATTTGGATCATGGAAACCTGCAGCAACACAGCTGTGTGGCCTCTAGTATTACTGACCTAACTCACTTCACTTAGTTGTTACTGCTAATAATACTACACATACTTTTACCATTATTACCAACATTATAGCTATAACACTATGAGAAGTAATTTTCCAGGAATACATGCAATATCTACCTCCAACATTAGCAGAATAGATGCATACATTGGCACTAGTAGTAAGTAAATCACAATTGCGGTGAATATATGCTTTTCTTGTTATTTTCTAGCACAGCAGGTTCGCTTGAATTGCCACAGGATTTTTAAAATCCAACACAATCCATCAAAATGTGTAGACATTGTATTCCAGAAAGCAGCAGAGCCAGAAACAATTAAACCAGTTAAAGGAACTAATTGTAGATTTGGGTGTAAAAGCCTTTTTTGGGGTTTAGACCAGCGTTTGAATGCAAATACATGAAGATAACTTTTTAAATTGTTTAACAACTGACACTACACACATAATGTAGCTGTAGTATGAAGTAATTTTACTTGAGTTGGAGTATATTTTAAATTCAAATTAATCTAGTGCATTCATAATGTCAATATTCTAATGTGTCATATACTTTGGACTGAATACATCCACATTAAGTGCCAGCTGTAGGCCTTGTGTTTCCAGCTCATTAGCTAATGTTAGCATGCTAACAGCCCAACTAAACTTTCCTCCCTCTGTTAGGTTTTACTTTTGCACAATTGTTTCCCAAGCTAAATGCTAACACAGTAACAATAACAGTGCCCTCATGCTACTGTTGAGCAGATTTCATGTAAACTGTGCTCCTAGTTTAGCAAGCTAGCATGCTAACTGAGAACATAGTCCTTTCTTATGAGTACAGTGCTGCTTGTTTGAGGGTTGTGTAGCAGATCAAAGTGAAACAGACACACAAAGAAGTAGACACTGTTGTTGTTGTTGTTGTTGTTGTCGTCCAGAGGTTTTATTTCAGTGTCTGTAGTGCGATAGCAGAGGGAGCAGAGAGTCCGGAGGTGACGAGACCGAATCTATGTCAGATTTCAAGACATCTGTTGTAACACTTTTCTTGATGTGTGATATTATGAGATATCTGTCTTAATTCAAAATACTGTTACTCTGGCAGAATGGGGAAGGAATATGGCAATATGTTGGGCAACACTTCAATAAAAATGGAAAGAAAATCACTGTTATCCCCTTTTCAGGTTTTTAAATAGCCGAATTGATACATCTAATGATAGTTGATGATAGACACAAAATATTAATCTTTTAATCTTAAAATACTGGGACATTTTGATTTTGAAATTGCAACTTTTTCTTCCCTTTTTTTGTCTTTAACAAATATGGCCTTCAAAATATTCATCCTAATTCCTGATTCTTTATTTCTTAGTAATTATTGAACTCCTTCTTATATTAAATTAGTCCGTACTAGCTCACGGTAATTCTTTTTCACTATCTGTTATTTTTTCCCTGAATTTCCACCCCCCCACCCCCCCTCTATGCCCCACCTCCTCCAAAGCCTCTGCACCAATCACATCGCCTGTCCGCCATTGACAGAAATAAGGACTTGTTTAGATGTAAACAACCACTTCTGTACAAAAAAACAAACAGAAACAACCCCAAGCTTTATATAGAAAACAAAAAAACAATCAAACCAAAGATATTCAACTGTACAATTCATAAAGTCGTAAATTCATCATCATTTCTTTCTCTTTCTGTCATTGCTGTACACTTTCTCTCACTTTTACAAATAAAAAAAATGTCAAATCAAATACTTCTCCTTAAGTTAGCTTCACTCTCTCTCTCAGCTCATACATAAAATAGAGTCTCCGTTAGTATTTGCTTATTTACAGGGTTGCACTATGTACACATTTAATTTTTTCAGTGTTTCAAACAGGCGACACTGCGGACAGCCTCGACCCAAGAGGCCGCCCATTTACGATAATTATGCATCCCAGCTGAATTTCAGGCAGAATCTGTGATTGGTCCGAAGGTTTGGTCTGTTTACTTTTGTTCGAACCGAAGAATGTTTTAATCAGGTTGATATTAGAGACATGTGGGATTCTGGACTTTTGTTTCTGCCCAGAACTACGATGGGATCCATAATAAAGCGCCCGACACCCAGGAAGTGGTCCTGAGAGAGCCACTGGCAGACTAGTGATGATGAAATCTTCGCTGGGTTCTACACTTTCTACCCGACCAAACAACTGCAAACATCTCTGCTTCAACAAAACCTTGAGCAATAAATACAGAGCCCTGGAAAAAAAAAACTGGCAAAATTGAAAAATCTGAAGAGTCTTGATTTCTCCAATTGTTCTCTCTCGCTTTATTTATTTAGTTATTTGAGTTTCAATTGTCTACAAGTATTCTTGAAAGCTTAAAAAGCTTGTCTTGGAAGTTTGGTCTTAGGACGTTAGCTTTGTCGCAAAGAGTTCAGTCTGTTTTCTTGGGGATTTCAATAATTGTTCTTGAAAGTTCGACCTCATGCTGATGACAGTTGAGGGTTTATGATGGCTTGAAGGCTTACTTATTTTCTTGGGAACACTAGTTCTTTGGGAATTTGGACTTTGGACGTAAGGGGTTTCTAATATGGGACATTCTGTGTTTTAACAGTTTTTTCAAGAAAACTTTTTTAAAAGACCAAATTTGGGTTTTTGGCCTTGTTTTGGGGAGTGAAATTGGGAACTCTAAACTTTCTGTTTTTTGGAGATAAACCCAAACTTAAATTATTGGTTTGTACTCATGTTCCTGGGAGTTGAACATTTCCAGTGTATAAACTTGGAATTCAGTTTTCAGCAGTTTTGAAATTAACGTTTTGTTCTTGGTAATTCAGAAAAGGGTTTTGTCTGTTTTGAGTAAAAAAACTTAATAATCAGATATAAGGTCTTGTTAAAAAAGAGACGTTTTGCAGTTTTTGTCCTGTCCAGAATCAAGCATTTCACACCTCATGTTTTTCAAAATCCTGTTGAGTTACTGTCCTGAGTTTACCTCGAATCAGAGATCTCATGTTAATGTAATGTAACCATGTGAGGAAAAAGTCTGACTATTAATTTACAACTTTATTTTATATTATCAAATGAAAAGAATAACTTCTTCTGTGTGGTTACAGATTAAGACTGTAAACAATAAGATTGATGCTTTGTGTCTGATTTCAAAACTACATAAAAAAAGACATCAATATAGTTTAACTCGTTGAGTCGGATATGAGCGAGTGTCTCCATGTGACTCGGTCAGGACTCATGAACTTGTGGACTTGTTTCTGGACAGGATCATCCTCACTCAGGTTTATACGAACAGGATGTTATGGTACAAATGGAAAATGATAAAAAGTCTCACCGGCCACCAGAAATGAGCACAGAGAAACATTTTCAAACCATTTACATCTTTAAGTTCATTTTTACAAACAAGTGAACCATCCCAACACTGAAGAGTTTCATTCACCCCACAGAATCTGAACATCTACTGGACATCTTACTGAAAAAAATATCGAAAATCAACTCTTTGTAAATATCAGATAATAAACACAAGATAGACTTTACATTTGATATGAAGTGACTTTACCCAAAGTACTGAATTTATTATTTAACTTTCTGGGTTTGTAAATACTCCAAGCAGCTGCTGAAAAGGTAGAAGATAAAAATGAAAGAAACATATTTTCATTGAAAGATGTAAGAATGAAACTCTTCAGTGAACTGCAAAAACATCTGATTCTAAATCATTTTGTCATGAGCCTGATCTTTAAATCTAATTTTATGTGAATTAAGAAAAATAAATACATTTGTTCTTTCAAAAATTAAAAAGCTGAATTAATAAATTATATAAGACCTGACTCGCAGCTGTTTCTGTCTGGTTTGTAAAACATATCCATATAGTCTTCCAGGTGTGTACGCACTTTGTTGAACCTTTATTGTTTAAAGATTTAAGCTCAGACAAAATGATTTCAGATTTTTTTACAGTGCAGACGGCTCAGACTCAAAAAACTAAAGTAACGTTTCATTGTGAGCAAGGTGGACTCCTGGAGGTGATCACAGCAATAAAACAACATCTCTTTAGATTTCTATTATTGTAGTAAATATGACTCAAGCGTGATCAGCTGTACAAACACAGAACCAATCGATCGCAACACAACTGGACTCAACTGAACCGACTGAAAACCTAGAATAAAGAGTAAACAAAACCTCTCTGTGTCTCTGAGCCCTGAGGTTTGGCAAAAGTGCTTCGTTGCGGCGATAAATTGACCAACCAGCTTCACTTTCTGTCGCTCTGTTATTGCCTCGGACCTTCAAACCCACCCATTCGCTGAAACCGACCGATGGCAGGGCAGCTCTGTGGGCGTGATCTGGTCCTTCCTTTGAGCTGATTGGTCGTTTAAATGTGACAGCAGTAAGATACAAACGCAGAAAAAAAATTCTTGTCCACTTTTTGTATTTTTGTTTCCTCTCTGGTGTGATGTCATCCTGTAAACACAGCTGATTGGCTGCTGTTTTCAGTCCAATCAAAAGTGATCATTTTCAGTCACTTTCTTAAAGGGCCATACCCGTTTGTTTCTGCATGTTTAAACCATTTACATCAAAGAATCAAGTGTTGTAAAAGCATTTGAGATTAAGTTGTCAAGGCAAATTCCAAAAAACAATCTGCTTTAAAAAACAATCTGCTTTAAAAAGCAACGGTCTATCAGAGCCACAGGTGTCCTGATTAAAATCTACCAATAATAATCACGGAAAGAGAGTTTAAGGGTCAACTGAAACATTTTCAAATAAACCAGAATCACTTTCCAGTTGGGCCTGGGTTACTTTTTATTCTGACATTATTCCTGTAATAAACAGACGGTGGCGCTAACTTTGGTTTGAATGTGCTCTTCTTTTTGTTCGACAGAGTTTTGAACTAGAACATAGACTGTATTAAAGAAGTGGATGTAGCCTCAAGGTTTTAATATAATGGAGCAGTTTGTCTTAAACATGCATTTTTTCTAATGTCCAGCAGGGGGCAACTTCACAGGATTACAAAAATATGGAAGTCTATTAGGAAGGTCACACATAATCATATAATAGACTGCATATCCAAATGAATGTATCCTTAGGTTGTAAAATTTGAAGCAAAAGTAAAGGTGCCGGAATTATCCTGCTGGACATTAAAAAAAAAGGCAAAGATATGTCACTATGTCACCTTGCTTACTAAGCTAGTGCTAGCATTAGCTGCAAACATAGCATTTGCTAAGCCATCCTTTGCTCTAAACTTTCTTCAAAATACAGTCATTTCTGGCTCCAAGAAGCCAAATTGGCGATAACGAAAGTCCACAAACATATACGTATTGTAAACGTATTGCATGATGTATTGGCTTAACATCTGATGAGAAATTTCTTATATGATTGTTTTGTGTAGAAATGATGTGACACCTGTGGCTGTCTGTTCTTTACTGAAAAACTGGGAATTATGAACCGCTGTGTTGTGGTTTGGATGTATTGTGTATATGATGTGTAGTAAACTGGTTTAAACATACCAAATCAGCAGAATAGTCCTTTAAAGGGAGTTTGGCGTGAATTTTCCAACCTTTCTGAGACGACCGACATTTGTTTTTCATTCAAGTCCTGAAATAAAAATCAGAAAACATCTTCCGACTGACACTGAGATCACGTTTGGTAGAAAACCAGCATCTACACACTCTGATCCAGCAACACAAATGTCCTCCATCAACAAGTCCTTTCACGTGATCTGAGTCCTTGAACACACCGTGGCCATGTCTCATAATTGTCCATAAGTCTGTCGCAGACGCTGCAAGTGAACGCATCGTCACTGCAAAGGTTAAATGAGGGAGCGTAAAGAAAGAAGTGTCTGATTTTAGTGAGGACTGTCCGAGGTCGGAGGTCAGCCCGATGGGCACAAACCTCGGATGTAAACCACAGACACAATGAAAGAAACCTGTGAGAGCAGACACTGATCAATAACAAGATCTGCTGTGTCCTCCGATGTAAAAGGAAAAATATATCCAGCTTTAAAACGGCGATGACAGATTTCTGAGTGTCACCTGAAATGTGGTTACACCTGTGGTCAAAGCGGTTCCCACGATGTTTCACCGTCATGTGACTTGTTTGTATGTTCCTGCAGAGATTTGATATGCACACCAGGAGTCAGTGGAAAAAGTCCTGGAGGAAAAAGAAAATCATGGCATGAATCCACATTTTCTCGTCTTTGAAACTGAGGGATTCGTCTGATTTTACATCCTCTGGTGTGAACATTTTCTCCACCTGCAAGTTGTCGTTCTGACACGTAAACATGGCGGCTTGAATTCTCTCCCAGGTGGATTTTTCGCTCTCAAACAGAAAGTGGGATGAACCAGTCGGCTGTTTGATGTTTGAGAATCTATCTCTATTTGCTGCGTGGATTCACATGTTCACACGTCCTCTCGTAGAAGCGCCATATTGCATCTGCCCGACTGTGGTCAGATTGTCTGCAATCTGATTGGTCAGCCGCCACAGGAGGTGGGAAAGTGCAGGAAATGTGGAAACATGATGTAACCTTTTCATTTCTCCTCCTTCTTCTTCGCTCATGTCACTTTTACTGTCTGCTCCGTCTCTCGTGTTTTTCCCCAATGTTTATCTCCGGATGAGGCGACGTCAGTTTGAGGTTTGATTTGATCTTTCAGCACGACCACAGGTTTACAGAGTCAGGTGAAATCAATCAATCTCATCGTCTCTTTCAGGACCGTTTCCTCATCATCCTCTCTGAACATGCAGCGTGTGAGCAAAAACAGAGCAGACAGATCGGTCTAACAGTTAAGTGGTCTTGTTAAGGGCAGATAAAATGATCTGTCACAGCAGCTCTGAATTATCTGTTTTAGTCACGTTTTGTTTGCAAACGCTCTTCATTCTGGAAGAGTCTTTCCTTTTGCATACAAAGTGATTTCCACCTTAAAGCTCCAATCATGTGACTGACGTGAGTGATGTAATTATTTGATTTCAGGCAGTTTCTTTGTATTGGAAATCTGCCGATCACCAGCTTTAAAAACAGAACTGCAAACACAGAAGAAAACATCATATAGAGATATCACAAAAACTCCTCACAGAAGATGACGTGCAGTGTTTTTTTTTACAAGTAATTAATCAAAATGCTTGTGATTCATTAGGAGCCATAATAAATAAATAACACGAGGAAATAAGATCTGATTTAG